GACTCAGACAGACACAAGGTGCTCAACTCTGAGTTCAAGTTTTTGTACACGGCCATTACTCGCGCAAGGGTCAACGTGTGGTTCTTTGATGAAGACGAAGAAACCCGGGCACCAGTGTTTGAGTACTTCCAAAAGCGTAGCCTTGTTCGCGTGATACGCATGTCAGGTGAAGCTAACGAAACAGATCAGCTGACCAGTATGTTCGTGGAGAAGTCAGCAGAAGCTGAGTGGTGCCAGCAAGGGCATTATTTTTATAACAAAGAGCTATGGGAGGTGGCTGTAAAATGCTTCACAATGGCCAGCGATCAAGTTATGATAAAGAAGAGTCAAGCCCAGTTGCAGGCCGCTGAAGCAAGTAAAATAAAAGGTAACCCTAAGGCGATGAGAGCACAGTTCCTGAAGGCTGCGGATCAGTTTTTACAGTGTGCCATGTTGGATGAGGGCGCCAAGTGTTTGCATAATGCTCGCGAGAGACTGTTGCTTGCCAGACTAAATAAGAAACTAGGAAAGGTAAGCACAGAATGTTTCTAGAGACTGTTTCCATAAGCATCCGGAACAAGTTCGTTTTTTGTTCTTTTACTTGCGTGAACTTGTAATGACGTTAATTGTGATTGATTTAAGCAATGATGTGCAAACTTTCTTCTTTGAATCTCTGGATCAGTATCAGTATCTGGGCAACTGCCCACCTACCCCTCCCCTGACTCAACAACAGTCAATTGACAACAAGTTAAGGGGGAGGGGTAGGTGGGCAGTTGCCCAGATACTGATATTGATCCGAATCTCTTTTAAACCATTAGCTCAAACTTGCTTTTCTACCTAAATTTGCATTATTCTATGGTTGATATCTCTACGCTATCTTTATTATCTGGAGTTCGAAGTATTCAGTGCGATTTGCAAGGGCGTATTCTTACCAGCCTTTGAAGTAAACAGTAGCCAATGTTGCTGTTCCTATCGCCCACAACACCGTTTTTTTTATCCCATTGTCTGCAATAGTTTGAAGACGCAGCGAAACAGCTCAGGAAGGAACGCTATTACTTGGAAGCCAGTCAGTGTTATGAGATGATTAATGATTACCACCAAGCGGTGGAGGTACTGTGTCAAGGCAATCTCTACAAGGAGGCTATCGATACCTTACAGCGGTACAAGAGTCTGGTGGGAGCTGATACTAGCAAAGGAGGAATCCGTCCACCCAGAGAGTCACGGACGGTGGAGCGACTGTGTCATCAACTGGCAGAAGAACATTTCAGGTAGGTTGTAAAACGTTGACTGATTTGCTAAGCGAATTTGGCTTGGCTGATCTGTAACATTTTGGGCAATTGGTCTGACTTTGCAATGGAATTGTAATACATTGCAATACGTTTGCGAATTTCAAGATAGTTGATTGACAGAAAACGATCCGTCAGCAGCCTTTCCGTTTGCTTATTTTTTCGTTTTGTTAAGAAACGAGAACTTAAGAGAAGTTTATTTGTAATATCGTTCGATGGTGCTGTTGTTTCCTACACCTTTTTCTAATTTTCACCATATGTTAATATCATTTGCTTTTTGTTGCCTATTTTCTATTTTCTCATATAGTGTAACAAGTCAGTTGAAGCAGTTCTTATTTTTTGAGGGTGAACTTCGACACTTAAGCTTCTTATTGGTCTGTTTATATTTTAGTTCTGGTCGTCTTGATGAAATGGTCTCCGTCCTTGAGGGTTTACCTTCCACAAACGATCGAATCCTTTTTCTGGAGAACCACGGGTGTGTTCAAGAGGCTATGGAGGCATTGGTCGATGAAGGCAGATACACAGATGCTGGCAACCTCTTGAGCAAAAATGGCAGATTTATTGAAGCGGTAAAGTTTGTACACACGAAGAGCTTTGCAGCCGAGTGCTTTCTGTCCGCAGCACGATGTGCCCAGAATCATGCTTGTGTTAATGAACGTCGTGATTTAGTTGAGGGATCTGCTGAAAGAGCTTTGGAACTATTTGAAGATTGCAACGATGAGAACGGTCAGGCGCAATGTCTGCTGATTCTTGCGAGATTGAATGAAGATGTGGAAGATGCCAGAAGTGCCCGGGAGCTATTTAAGAAAGTAAACAATATTTGTGGCGAGGTAGAGGCATGTCTCGAGCTTTTCACCATTTCAAATGAAGATGTTGCTCTTGTTGACTTTCCTGGTGTCTTTGTTACTAGCCTGAACAGACTGTTCGGTCTTATTATGGCGCTCAATAAGCCTCAAAAAAGTGTCGTGGAGCTTCAGAAGGTGGAAATGTGCGAGGCGTATTTTGGTGTTTTCAAGGGAGATAAATCAGACGTGAGATGCGCTTTTGTCAACAGTGGTGCGCTTTTCGTCACGTCTGTCCCTTACAGCCAAGATGAAGTTAAGGTTGACAAAGTGTTACTTGATGAGGGAACCGCACGATGGCGAATTGCAAGACACTTGTGTGACCTGGCTTTTGAACTAGTCCAGAACATTAGTCAAAGGGTAGAATCCAGTGTACGTTTTCATGGTATCTGTCGAAAGTCCCTTGTGGGCTTGAGCTGCAATCCTGGACATTGTCAGTTTCATCACGCTGAGTTCTCACAGTCACATTTTGAAAAGCTGTTTACTGCCTTGTGCACTCAAATTCATGTGAACGCCCTTGTTCAGTTATTCGCAGATGCCATTGGCCGCTTCGTCCCTGAGAGAAAGCTTTCGCAAAAGCTGCTCACTCGTGAAATACAAGACTTTCAAGCGTGTCGGCAATTTTACGACCTGCTCTTTCCAAAGATGGGCTTGCATATTTCTTTCCTTGGTAGAGAACACGTTCGCTTTCTTCGCAGGCATAGCTCTATCAGAGAGCGCTTGTCCAGTTACGCCGAGTTCTCATGGAAGGTTACAAAGGAAAGCCAAAGATGGGTGAACCCTAACAAGTTCTTTAAGATCTCACGGATCCTTAACCTGGTTGGACAACCCGGCAAGATCGGGGCTCTGCTCTCCGTGGAGGAAAAAGGCTTTGCAATGAGGAACATGCCTTGCGATGGAATGCTCCAAGACAAATACCATGGAGGTTTCCGTAGTTTCTTCCGATTGTTTCAGGAGGGTAACTCTGTCCTCCATATGTACGGTGATGTCTTGAATGCTGCACACTCCTTTATCAGGAGATTCTTCAGTGTGATCGCATGGAGGTCTTCCATTCCTTTTCCTTCCGCTGCCAACACAAGTGCCGTCTTTGAGCACCAATTAGTCTCGTGTCTGGCGTTGTTTGCATGTTTGTTTAAAGACTACGAGAATCCAGTCTGTCTACCCGAGAGCTATCTCCATCTGATTGACTTCTGGGACGCAGTACACGGTTCAGACAAGTTCCCCTCCTTGTTTAGTATCGTTGAAGCCACAGCCGCGAGAATTCCATCTTTCAAAGGAATCCGAGGGGTCCAGCGTTTACTGGAGTACACAGTCCAGCTGATGTCGGGACAAGTCCACGGTCGGTTCAACTTAATAACCAGTGCTTTCAGTGTCAGTTCAATTGAGCGCGCACGGCTGTCAGGTGAATCAGAGAGAATTCTGATTTTGGCTATGACCATGTTGTGTAACTACGGTAGTGGTATCCCAGCAGCTCCATGTGGCCGTCTCATCCAATCCTTGCGTAGTGTCACCGTTCACCCACTCTTTCCCGTTCGAGTACAGAGGGCACTGAAAGCCGTACAAAACGCCAAGGGTGTTCGAGACGTTGTTACCGCAATGCAAACTTTACTATCACAAAGGAACGAAGCTTTATTTTCAGTTCGTTGGTGCAACGGAGGGTTTCTCACTGCCGAGGTGAATGTTGCTTACTTCAAGCAGTCGTTCAGCACTGATCCGGCTCCTTGGCATTCGCAGACCACGGACTCAAGTGAGCCACCCGTAGATGTGTACTCTCCATCGGAGTTTCAGATGCCAACAGGATACCTAGAAGAACAGAGGAAGGAGCGCGCTTTAGAAACCGAGCGTGAAAATGCAGCTGTTAAAATTCAGAGATGGTTTCGTCGAGTCAAACGCGAAACCCCGGAAACTACACCTTACGATAAAGTTGAAGAGCAGTCAGCGGACTCTGTTACACTCCACTTTGAGCGTTTTAAGGTAGACGCTTCAGCTTGTAGTATATGCTGTGTGCGCTTCAGCGACAAGTCCGAGGGTGGAAATTACGAGTCGCACATTGTTACAGAGAGTCAGCACTGGCGTCAGCTACATTTGTTCAAACAATACAAACAGCTGTTTGTCGGGAAGATCTGGCCTCTGTTTAAAGCTGAGAAGGAGCTTCGTGACGAGTTGAATGCTCTAGCTGAACGGAATAGGGTTGGTTCGCACGATTTTGGTCTTGATGTCCAGCGGCTTGACCACGTTGGTGCACGCGTTGGTGAATGTGTGCGAGATATCGAGTCCCGTTGTAAGTGGGGTGATACGGGCCGCTTGATACATGAAGTCGAGGCTTTGGGAGCGACCATTAAGAAAGTACAGGAAATTGTAAGGCAAGGTGAGAATATAAAAATATTTACAAAATCGGAAGGTCAGAGTTAAGCACCCTCATGGAACCATATTTTTCCTTTGTTCCGCGCTCAAGTCGAATTTCATAGCTGTTTATTGTGAAAAATTATAACCGTAGGTATTTTCTCGTGTGATTGTAGACCTACAGAAATTGCGAGGTGTGGGAACAACGGTTGAAAGAACAGACTACCCTGAAGAAAATGAAGACTTTGCTGATGAAGAAGACATCTTGGATTTGCGTGGGCCTAAAGAGGGCGGAGCCAAAGGGGGAGGAGGAGGAGGAAAGCGAGATGGCAAGAAGAGGAACCGGGGAAAACGCGGGCGTGATAAAACACGTTTTAGACAGTCATGAACGTTCAGTTCTGTGAAGGAAGATTTCTAATGAGAGTTAGGGCCATTTTCAAATGCAGCTTTTGTAGAGGCTCATTTTTTGCTTTAGCAAATGGTCTTTGGATAAAAAAAAGTATCTAAGTGGACTGTATTAGTTCAGTTAAAAGAACTGTTATCTTTTTCCTTTTTTTTTCCTCCTACGTCTATTACTTCGTCACGATTACTTATTTCGATAGTCTAAGAGCAGTTGCTCAAGACATGATGAAGAAATATCGACAGAAATGCTGCAACATCTTAGAACTTTGAGTATCCCTTAGGACTTTGTTGATTGTTTTGTTTCAGTGTAGGATGGACAAAATAACGTTACTTTAACATTGCCTTTATCTATTGAGTCTCGATTTAAACACGACTCTTATTTAAATTAGTGTTAGTCATTTTAGGAGTAATTTTCCGGCAGACTTGAGTAAGTGCCTATGTTTCCTGCATGACTTCAAATTAATTAAGGTGTTAAGCGAGCATGGGAAGTAAAGTAAAGTTTTATTGATTACCACATTGCTATTTTCTTTACTGTACCAAGACTGGTACTATTCTTAATGAAAAACTACCAGAATTTTTTTTTTTCTTGGTTAGTATTTAAAGAATTGGTGAGGTGTTGGTGGGTGGGAGAGCAGAATCCCTCTGGCTACAAAAAGTTCAGTCAATATAATTTATTTAATTTTGCACTAATTTCAAAAGTTTGAATACAATTTCCAGCAAAAAAATAAATGTGATAGTATCTTATAGCAGTTCAGTGTAATTGTACAAGTATTCATCATTCAACTCAAAGCACTCAGTCCTTGGGTTCCAACTTTATATTTTTAAGATTTCCATGGTGAAATTTTTTGAGGGACAAGGTAAATCCTTTCAATTTTCCCTCCAAATCTTTCTTAAACGTTGAGTAGAGTCATCAGCAATCCAGAAATTAGATTTAAATCAAGGTGCAGATGTATCCTTTACAGCCTTCCAACTGTTGCTGATAGTAAACAGGAATGTAGAGGGCAAAACTTAACCAAACACCATCAAGAGTGAAAATGTCTGTCCTGAAGCTGGATCAGGTTTATGGTGGCTTAGACAGTGTTTGCTGCTGCTCTCCTCTTCCTTGCATTAAAGGTCCTAAAGGAATACATCAAGAAGAATTCTATCTGATCACCTTTGTGTGAGGAAGTCATATTCCCGTACAAGTCGAACAGTTACAGTCAGTAGGTTTTTACTTTTGTCCCACTGTGCTTTGCCATTTTTACTGTCCACTGGGTGTGGCAGGTGAACTCCAAGTTTACTGAAATTGAAGTGAAAACACATTGTTGATCATTTCCGAGAAAAAGTATTTTGTAAATTATTGAAAAACAAAAACTGTCATTGTCCAAGTGTAAGGATGAGGGAAAGGGAAGGAGAATGAAGGATTGTGGTGGAGAAGGGATTTTTTTTTCCCTCCTAGACAAGGAAAGAGAATTTTTATTTGTTGACTTACTATTTTGGTGTTCTACAGTCTAGAAAAGTATCTGTCACATCTAAATTTACATCTGAGTACTCTGTGTCTGGAAGCTTGATTTTTATCTACAAGCGAGAAAACAGTTGTAGTTAGCATCTGTACTAAGTAACAAAACAAGTCCAACCCAGGATTTACAATTGCAAGAAAGCCCATTCTCAAACAATGAGATAGGGGGAGGGGGAGAGAGTAGAAGGTAGGCCTAATCCAACACTAAATCTTTATTTTAGGTTATCTGTGACTGCTTCAACTGCATGTACAGGTCATAAACAATTTCTTATAATGATAATTTGAGATCAAATTTCTTTAAAGGAAACAAGAAACCCTAACATATCATGGCAACCAACACATGGCTATGTAACTCAGTCACTAGTAACTCTGGACAAGTGCTCAGAAAGCCTGGGTTCAAACTCCATTTAGGCCTGATTTTTCTTTTTCTGGCTTCTCTTTCTTTGATTGATGTTCTCACAATAAATAATGTGATGGCTGATTCATAATCTATCTTGTACACTGATACTGTAGAACCACCAAAATTTAACATACTTTTTTTCTCAATTTTTGCAATATATGCTGCATTGGTATCCTACCATTCACATTGCTAGTACTGGTTAGGGGTGAAAACCATTCAGGGGCTTGTAATAAAAGATTTCTGTTAACAACACAGCAGTGCTAGACTGATTCTCACCACTAAATCTTCACAGCTAGAGGAGGATGGATTTCTGCCACTCATTTGAAGATACATATCCTCTGAGGTTACAGCTTGCTTAAAAATCATTTCATATCTAAATTGAATTTAAAAATAAGGGATTTTAAAGTAATGTTAATTTCCATTATACTGCTACTAAATAAACAGAAAAGTAAACAAATACAGTGTATATTAATTCATAAATGTGATACCCTATCTTTTTTAAGTCAATATTTTCACATGAACCAAAACTCCTTATTCCGTCAAATATCTGCAGCATCAGTACTTTTACAGTTTCATAATCTCCCAGAAATTCGTCAAGTGTTTCTCAAAATGCTCATTATGTTCTTCAGAGCAGAGAGTAAGTGTAAACAACACAGTGCCTCAGCCAGAGCTTTAAACTGGACCTCTGAGGTTGAGTCTATAGCATTACATTCAGAAACCATCTGCCTTAAAGGATTTCAATATGCCCTGGCATCCTATCAAAGTTTCTAAATTTTAAACAATCATGCGTGATTACCAGTTACTGTGTGCTGGTTGGTTACCACTGAAACCATCTAATCAATACTACAATACTATTGGTCAACTTGCCAACATCCTTGAACAACTTGCTGAGGTCATCTTAGTGACAAAACCCTAGGAGTCTAAATATTCACAAACTTTTTGGAGGGTTAATAATTGATTTGAACGAGTTAATCATGGCTGTTAGCTGATGGAAATAACAATTTTCAATCAAGTCTTATATTGGCAAAGTGGTCAGAAGAAAATTTGATTAATTTTCACTAAAAGTTATTTACAACAAGTCGGTTTGTTGTTTCATACTCAGGAGCAGGTCTTGGATCTAACTCATCATCTCCTTGTCCACCCTCAGGTATCTCCTCCTCACTCCAGATATCACTGCTCTCTGCTTGTTGAGAGTTAAGAACTTGAGAACCACCTTGTTAATGAGAATAGCATTACAAGAAGAAGGAAATGTGAGAGTTATCCGCAGTAGTAATTTTTCTAGTCAGAGCCTTAGACCCAGCGGCCATGTGAAATACATAGATCAAAATCTGAGTTCTCTATTTAAGACCTACACCTTGTATTCTTTTAAGTCACAGCAGTTGCTGATCTCGAGGCAGAAGGAAACAAGCACCACAAAAAAAAAACAAAAAACTGTCATTTGGAGCATTTCTCTTAACTTCGATCCCTACCTAGCTATTTGATTACTTTTTGCTACGTCCATTGTAATGGAAAGTCAAACTGATCGTTCGAAAGACATTGTAAAGAGAACATAGGGCTTACCGAGTTTTTCTTGTTTCTTTGGAGGCCCAATGCTTCCAGGATTTACAGCAGCAGATTTCTTTGGCGAGAAATTTTCATCCTATTTATTGATAAAGGTAGGCAGTGTCATGATGAACACAAATTCGTTTTAAATTTCGTCGCTGCAAATACGCTGAAACTCGCTGCTCTTCTCCTTCAAACTTTCGCCATTTTAACTAGTTTTAACCAACTTACATCAGAGCTTGAATCATCGTCTTTTGGAGGTTTCAAAAGTTCAGACAAAGCTTCTATTCCCGCTGGATTGAACGCCATATTTGTTTACCTTGGTAACCGTGCCCCACTATCCTCTCCCGTGTAGAGTCACTGATTCTTCTCGAACCATGCTTCACTCGAACAATATTGGGAAAATATGCAAAATAATTATCCCGGAGTTCTATATGCTGGATCATGGATCGTACCTGAGGAACTGTTTTATAAACAAAAATTTATCATTTCAGAGTATATGTTCTCGCAAGGGCCCATTATTAGTAATGGGCTCCTGCACAACCAAAAACTTGTATTACTAATATTTGTTTGTTTGGTTTTTTTTATTTTAATGCAATTAGGGTGTTCGTGCGGAGGATGGAGGAATATCAAGGATTGAAAAAGGGGGACTGAGAATTGAGCCGTGGGAAATGAAGAGTAAAGAGAGGGGTACCGAGTGAACAGGGGATTAGGGGTAGGGGTGGAAAATCAGGGGTAAATTGAACGGTAGTTGATGGTTAAGGAGTTGTTTCGTACCCAGACCTTGCATGGTAAAGCGGTTGTGGATAGATTCAGTTACACGTTAGGGGGGTTTAGGGTCAAAAATGAGAGGTGGAGTGGGTGAGTTAATGAGAGATTTAAATGTAACTAGCATTTGTATTTTAAGTAATGTTAGTTTATTGTAAATGGGGTTCATGGAATAATAAAAAAGAACTGAACATACAGAGGAAATAGACGAAAAAATAAAAAGGTGGGAATGAGACAAACGGAAGAACCTTGATTTAAACTACCCTTTTTAATAGTTTTTACCTAACAAGAATGAGACCTAAAATGACATTCAAAAACTATTTTAATACTAAATAAGAATTCAATGAGGTTTTTACGGAGCTAGTTGCTTTCTCACATCAAAAGTAACAGTATCAAGTAAAAACCGTCACACGGTGATTACCACTATCTGCAATAATCACGTGACCTCGGCGATTCACCGATACTGCATACGGAGTATCAATACATCCGGGTCCTGATCCCAATCTCCCAAAACTACCAATGAAATTCCCCTGTGGGTCTATCACTTGAATACGATGGTTCAAGCTGTCAGCCACTAAAATATTACCCACATTGTCTACAGAAAGCCCTCTGGGATTCATGAATTGATTTTTGCCAGCCCCGTTATGACCCACTACGGTAAAAGACTTTCCGTGATCATGGAAGATTTTCAGCTGGTGACTTTCACATTCAGAGATCACAACATCATTGTTCTTCGTGATCGCTACACCGCTGGGATATTGAAGGTACATTGAACCACCAATAAAACCTAAAAAGTGACCATCAATACGAAATTTTTGTATTCTGTGGTTCGGTCGATCGGCCGCCAATATGTTTCCGTCGCGATCCACAGTCAGCGCAGAGATTTCTGGCCTTGTGTCCCTCTTGCTGTAAACAGGAAGAAAGTTATGCGATAATGCCCCATCCGAACTGAAAACCTTTATTATCTGCGAGTCTGTTGTTATTATGTTTCCTCGTTTATTGACTGCAATAGCTACAGGGCCCATGTTTCCAAACTCAAGTGGTTCCCGAGCGAGCTCCCCCATAGAGTCAAACACCAGAACACGGCAGTTAGTTCGGTCAGCGGTATAGATTAGTCCTTTGTGACTTGCTACGCAGCACGGGAAGTCGAATTGAAGGGAAACAGTACGACTGCCCAGTGAGCCAAGTGAATAGGAATTCTCCTCGAGAACTTCTGAATAATTCAAACTCTGTCGGGAGAAAAAAAAAAAGAACCCATTAGCTGTATCCCCTCGACTCTATGCTCGATTACCACTAGTTATCATCAGAGCAATATGGGAACATTTGTTTTTAGAGTAAACTCGATCAAACGATACAATTGTGACGACAGTTTTTTTTCCCAGATAGAATCTCGAAGTCAAAATCCACATCATTGAAATCAAAACTATAACTTGTTCAGTTTAGGTCCAAAAGAGTAAATTGCCAGGTCGCTGTCAGATTTACCTTTGTGTTCTGCTTTTCTGTGTTTTCTAATCTCCAGAGCGGTATTTTATAAGCTTTATTTGCCATGCCATTGCTTCTAGTTCGTTCAAGTTCTTCTTGTGTCTCATTGATTTGATACTGTAAATCAGACAGTTCGAACTCGTTCTTTCGTATTTCCTGCTTCAGTTTTCTAACATCCTCCATCGTTTCCAAAATACATTGGTCAACACTCACAAGTTCTTGTGTTTTTAGAAATGTGGCCTCGTTATGATGTCTGACGGCCTCGCGTTTTGCCAACAACTGAAGCCTAATATCGTCCACGGATTTGATCATTTTTTTCAAGGTTTCTTGTTTTTCGTCTTTTTGTTTGTTTAACGTCTGCAAAGTCTTACTTGCTTTCTCATTGGTGTGTTTTTCAAAGATAGTTTTCCTCTTATCTCCTCGTCCAGATTTCTTCAACTGTTTATCCTTAGTTCCCAACAGGCTCTGCAATTCATTTAGATCTCTTTCCTGGGCTTCAAACATGGCTTCATTTTCCTGTGCTCTTTCTTCGACTACGCTTCTTTCTTGTTCCGCCACTTCTCGTTGCTCCAGGATACGATCGACAGCTTCTTGACCCACAATCAGAATTTCTTTCTGTGAATCAAGCAACGTTTGTTTTTCTTCAAGATTCTTCTTCAAATCATTTCCCCGCGAGGAACAATGCGCCAATTCTTCCAGCTGCCTTCCCATCAGCCGCTGCAGGGCGTTAATTCTGCGAGTGATTGTGGCGCTGTTTTCACCTTGGGGATAAAAGAGGAAAAAATGAATACTTAATGCTGCTACTTCTGTACTGATACCTCTCTTTTGATGAATGATGCAACTCCCCCTATTAGCTGCAACACATTTACCTGTAAATAAGCTATGAGAATTAAACGATATTTCAAGAATCCCACCCTAAGCTCAGACATTCTAAGTCACCTCTAAGTAGAAAATGTATTGAATGTGTGGGAGCAGGAACCGACAGAAACATTTTGACATTCCCACAAGTGAACTTTAATCTCATAAATTCGGCCTCGATTTCTTAACTTTAGCTGTTAATTTTTTCATTAAGCTCAGCTTAGCAATTGTTTTCTTATCCACAAGCACATTCACCAGGAGCAGTTAGGTATAAGGGTTGTGGAAATAGAGAGATTGCACAAAATTTTATAATACCCATTGTAACAATATTGCGTGACACTGTCACGACCTCGTGGTCCGCTGACGACATCTGTTTTCTTATATTAAATATATCTTGTTGGTCCGACATCTTGGTTTTGTATGTGTTCTCCTCTACATTGCCCGTTCTGGCTTGTTACACCCATTAGAAGTTACATGATGGATAATCGAACAACAAATTTGCCCCCGCGTATTGTCTCATCTGTGGCTTAAAATCACTCTTGTAGTTTTTACTTAACAACATGTGGTATCGTTTAAATTCGAAGAATAAGTGTTTATTCCACGCTATCGACACATTTTTTTTCATAAATGAATGCCCTTGTGGATCTTGCGGACAACCTATTTATTTGATGTTGACACGCAAAATTGTTAACACCACTGTTTTTACCGCTATCAGCAAACAACGATATATCAATTAACGTTATCTACTAATTACCTTCCTTCGATTTGCCATTCATAACTTGCACAGCTTGTTTATATTCATCCAATAGTTCGATAAGTGCTAACAATTCACAGTCTTGCAAAAGTTTTCGCAGGAAAGACAATTTTCTCTCAGTGACTAATCCTCGTTCTTGAAGAATGTGAATGACATCGAATCCACCTTTAAGTTTGCCGAGGTGTTCTTTTGTAACATGGCCGCGAAGCTGTACTTTAATCTTGCGTATACTTTCTCGGGTGAGCTGGCTTGAGATTGTTCCCAACAAAACGTCAAACGGTGAAATCTGGCTTTTCTCGGATACAACGTACGCCATTGGTGGAAATCATACAAGCTGCGACGTCAATAATCTTCTGCTCGCAACATGCGCTTGTTTGACACTCGTAAATAGAAGTAGTTGCTATGATTGTCAAGTCTGTTTTCCTAGCACTTAATTTTCCTATTGATTTGAAAGTAATCAAGTGCTCCTTTTGTTAACGATCAATTAATTTACCAAAGTTAATCCAGCGCTTTCAATGTGAAGGCTATCAAAGAACGGAGACGTGTGAAACGAAATGGCAACTCAAAATCTGATTGGTCCGTTTCCTGTAATGAGCGTCTTTCATGTTTTCGGTTCTTGCTTAGGAACATTAATATATTGATGAAATTTAAAATTCCGTGTAATAAAAAGGGAGCTAAATCGAGTAGATATTATTAATTTAGGGTTTCTTTCAAAGTGAGGTATCCTTGGATTGAGGCGTCCAACTTTGCGCTTTGTGAATGACTGTAAATGCAGTGTTTTTCTTTACTTTCATCGTAATACTAAATGCGCGCATCATACTAAACAGATTTTTCTGATTTTTCTTTAGTATGATTTCTTCAGTATGATTTGAAACTTATAAAATATCGTGACATTTATATTTCATGGATAAACTCCTAAGTCCGTTAACTAACGTAATCTAAGTTTGACCAAGGTGCAACGTTTAGATAACATAAAGTGTCTCGGCGACATTGAATGTACAGGTTATCTTTTAATTATATATTGCACTGTGATTGTCAACTTCAAAGATCAACTATATCTATGATATATGCAAATTATTTCACAGATTAGATATAAAATTCTTGTTGAACAATAATTAGGTCGACATATTCACTCAAAGTACACTCACACATAGTTAAAAAATTTCATCTAATTGTTTGTTTACTCAACGAGGAATAAATAATCAGAGTCATGATATAAACGCATTGTGGCCTAATTTTCCATCTCAACTCCAGGCATTGAACAGTTTCTTTTTGTTAATCATATTAGTACTTCTTTCTTCACCGTTTCCTCGTTTTGTTGCCACAATGGACACATCTTTTGCGTTATAAGAACCTACTGAACGCGTCTTTGATCTATTCACGTTCACAACGTCCTGTTTGTTTAGCATAACTGCCGTCATAACAACAGAGTCAAGTTCTCGCTCGTTGTTATTTTCAGTCGGTTCGTGACCTGGCGTCCATTGAACCAATTCTAAAGGCTCGATACTTTTGATAAAATTCTTTACAGCTTGTCTCTGGAGATAAAGCTCTTTTTCACGCACTCGACGAAAATATTCCAGGTCAATCTCTAAAGAAGTATGTCGACGTTGTTTTTGACCAGCATTTTTGGAATCTCGGGCGTTATTTCTCTGCATTACGCTAAACTCTGGGACTTTATAATATGACGTTCTCGCTGGAGCGCTTCTTGCTCGGTTCAGTCTTTGAGTTACAGTTTTAAGCTGTCTCTCCCACATTTTGTTTCGCTTTTCCAGAGCTGTCATCGGTCGAGGCGGTAGATCGGGTTTTTCTGTAAAGCATTGCGGCTCTTCGCCATATAATGCAGCGCTGTCTAGGCGAGGTGGCTCGCATGATTTTGCCCTTCTAAATTTCGGCAACGGCGGCTTAGGGCTTGCACTTAAACAGCGCAGCTGCCTCAAAGACATTCTCTCTTCACCGTTGGTATCATTGTTTTCGTTCTGTAGTTTCCGTAATTCCCGAGCGCGTTTGTGATTACTGTCTAAACTCTCTTTAACCTCGTCGTGCTTCTTTGCAATGTCCACGCTAAGGGAGAGTTTACGTTGAAATCGATGTACAACAAGTCTTTGATCGGACGATATTTTGGCAACTCTTTGCTGTTCCTGTTTATTTAAACAATCCATCTCTTTCTTAAGCTGTATTTCTTCTTTCCAATTAGCCGAGTGTACTTTTTGGGACTTTTCAGAACTTCCCGGGCCGGACTTTTGCCTGTCGATGTAACTTGCGAATTGGATCATCTTTACGATCGGAAGTTCATAGCCGGACAAAATTGGCCCTAACAAGGTTCTTTTCAATCGTCCTAACCCTCACAACAACTGTATGCTTTGCGTACACTTTTGTGATTTGTACTTCCACGCGTCAGAAAACCAGAACAAAAGATGAGGACGAAAATTAGCATTACTATGCTGCCTTCAAGTTCATTACCTCACACTACTCCATGAAAACAATTCAATCATTGTCTCTCGACTTTAAATTACAGTAACTAGGTTTAACATCTTGGCATTTTAGTACCAGCCTTTTATTGTTTGCTTTTACAGTAAACAAGTCCTTTCTTTGATTCAACCGTGATTTGAATACCACCCGAAGTGACAAAGCTAACACGGCGCAACATACATCGCAGCAGCTTTAGAGAGAAGTTAACGGATGATTAAATTCATGGCGCATTCGCCTTTTCCTGTTTTCGTTGCCTGAAAGGATTGTTGAAAGAAAAGACAAGTTCCAGTCGTTAAACAGATAAAACAATGAAGCTCACGTGAGTTAATCCATCTGTCCATGACAAGCTGGTTGTAATTATACATTATAAAATTTCTCGTACTGTTTGTCGACTTCTTGTCATAATTGTCAAGATGACGGAGTGCTCAAATTGCGTAACAAAACTGTAAAATCGAAGACTGTGTGGTTATTAAATTGCTTTCACACCTGTTGCTCTGACTTCAAGCGTCGATCTAAACGAACATATGAAATACCAATTAATAAATTTAAGTCTTGCACTTAATTTTCCATGGTGGACCACTTCTATTTGGAAATGGATTTGTCCAATATTCCCTTTTCCTTTCGACATTATCATCTGATCATTAGATGCCTCTGCTTTGAGAAGTGCATATGTCTTTAGCCCAATATGTATTGGACAATATTTTCTTTCAAAGCCGTAAATCAAACCGGTAGCTTTACAGATGTTAACAGCTAGGGAGCAATTTCATAGCAACGGCTGATCATTTCAAAACATAAGAAAACAAACTGGTAACTAGGAAGCTTAAGCTTGGCAGCCACGCTGTGTCTTAGTTCCGTTCAGAGTTCAAACTAACGCAAAGGTATGATGTAAGAAGCTTACACTAGGGCTAAAATTTGCAACATTTGCAACATTACTGTAAGAGACGATTAACGAGACGATAAAGGCTTTATCACTCCCAAAGCTTTGACGAACACAAGGGCAGAAAATCCAGTCAAATTAAAGCGGTTGATCTCGGTTGAGGACGACCCATCAGTGTCTTCCGGTGGAACCATTAACTTGCGAGGACACTTTGTGATGCCCAATATAAGGTTAACTGTATGAAACGTACTACGTGAACAAATTCAGAAGCTAACTCTTATTAAAAAAGAACTCGAGGACTTTTTCTTGAATAACTCACAACGGTTTTCGACCAACACAGCACAGGACAAAGAGAATATTCTAAAAAATGCCACGTAAAAACACAAACTGGGTTTACTTGTTCCACACTGGACCAAACAGTAGCTGTGGTTTCACAGAATTTTCTCCATTTTTGCCGGTTGTTGGTTTTACAAATTTTTCTTTTATATTCAACAACGCATGTTGATCATTTTCAGGACATTTAGTGTACAGGGTTGCAAAGTTTCGCTATTGACTCACGAAGGGAGATTTTAAAATTCTCCAGATTTGGCAGTCAGCTGAAACACCATATCTGACATTAAAATTGAAAACAAAACCAAGAAAAAAAAAAGGAAAAAAAAAGAAAGTAAAAGCCTCTTTCAATTGATTAATTAATTTATTTTTTGCTAAGTTTGATCAAAACTGATGCGAGACTAATCCATTTGCAACAAATGCGCTTAGGAAATAATCCACTTAATTCAAAAAGCCACGAAAATAATAAACAGTCTTTCGTCAAGGATTCCTTTAATTAAGGTCTTATAGATGTGTAAATTGAGGGCCATTTTTAATTTTAGTCTGAGAGCGAATGTCAATCAAGATCGACTTGTTTCAAGGTGCGTTTGTCGTTTCGAAGAGCCTGAAATGAACATCAGTCGGAAATGTATTCATTCATAGCTAATTTTCATATTTTCGTTTTACTTTTTGCGTTTCACACAACGTAAGAATAAAACTTAATAGCGTGTTGACAGGCTGTTAGTGAAACAATTGATACGTTGTTACGTAGACTGCTTGATGCAAACATTTATTCCTTAACCGACCTTTAAAACACAAACTGTTGAGTTATACCATATAGTTGTGCCCTTTCTGTCTATTTCTGAAATCGTGAAATACGAGTTATTTAATTATTTTATTTATTTGAAATATTCTTGATATACCAAAGATCGTTGAAATAAATATGCAGCCTTTTACAAACAACCCACCAGCGGTAAATTTTAATCTACAAATGTTAATCATTTGTCGATTGTAATAGATGCATTTTTTTTGCGTAGACAAATAAAAGTCATCAGTTATGTTTTATTTCGCATGTGGCTTGGGTTATTACGCCGTACCCGCGTTCTCTCTTTCTTCGTTGCTTTCTTAAACTGAGAAAAATTCGACGCTTCTTCATTACTACACTTTAAGGTTTTGACTGACAATTCTCCGGGCAAAAGCCATCGAATAGGGTTTAAAGCGGAAGCGAAAGCTATTTTTACCTTTGGAGATGTGGAAAGTATCAGCATTATCATGATTCGAGGATGTGTGGAAAGGTGGCTTTTGTTCTAAACAAAAGATTATTTAGTAGTGTGGCCATACTGTGTCGAAGAGACAGATCTATTTAATTCAATGCTTTATTTTCAGAGGAATTTTGCCCATACTCTTACGATTCACAGGCACAGAAACTGACAAACAAACATTGTTCTTAAGTTGACTGCGCCGTTAGAATTCACTTTGAATAACATACAGTCATGCAGCAGTCAGCTTGTACTGGCGCTTCGAATTGAGATTTGAAAAGCTTGAAAACGTTGTATAGAGGAAATGTCAAACACTTTTGTGGAAATTGTGGCGCTCGGTAAACCCTGAAGAATATATGTTGGAAATTCATTCTGTAACCGAGGAAGAAGAAGTGGACTGCGCGGAAAGTGAGAGCTTTAGTGAATCGGATGTAAACAGTGACCCTCTTAAAACAAAAAGGAAAGTTCAATTTTCGTGGCCATTGGAATACTGGAGGGAATTTGACAAGGAGACGGGAGAGGTTTATGAGCTAAAAGATGAAACGACACAAGAAGTGGCTGATTCATTGCCAAAACCGTCCGAAAATATTAAAACAAAAAACATTGATGTTCCAGACTTGAAGAGCGACCAAAGACTTGATTGGAAAAACAGTGCTAAGGCTCAAAGCATCACTGACGTATTCCAAGTTTTTCAGAAACGAGATTATAAGAAAGCGAATACATTTAAACAGATCAAAGATAAACGGGATAATCCAGAATGCAAAAAGTCTTTCATTAAACGAAATTTGACCACATATCCATCAACTTCTTTACACACGAAGCAGCTGAAACCGGGTAGTTTGCTTTGCAAAGTGTCAACCTGTTCTAAGTTAGCACACAAAGGTGAATTCACGTTTAACGCCCGCAGTAAGGAGCCTTCACTCATACAAAGTCACTGCACATACTCATTTTCGAGTTCCCTGGGCATGTTGACAGGGGTTACAGTACCTTCTAAGCCTTTGGTTTGCACGGGTCGTAAATTATACGATGAACGGCTTCTACCAGCAGTAGAACGGGAGAGAAAATCTATGTACACTTCGAAAAATAACAATGGGCTGCCACCACTGACCTGCGGAAAGCCAACAACGCCAGATATTGTGCAACTTTTTGACTAGTTTTACAGAAATTATTTAATTTTCACCATTATTAAATTTTAAACACGTTTTGAATACGATGTTAGAAGCTGATTCGTTTTAAGAAAAACCTCATCGGTATTTATTTTGTATCATTTAATGTTCGAGCCGATATCATCACCTTCGAGTGCATTTAATTTCAATTAACAATATTTCTAAAAGTACATTGCGTGAGAGAAATGGTAGCTGCATAATCGGAGGTATCAGATTAAAGTTATCAAGATAGGACAAGATGGTGAATTCCATGGCACCTGCGCACAAACAAAGCCTTGAATCCGTTCTCGTGTACTCGAAGTGGGGGAAACGAGGGAACCTAACGTATTAAGTGACGTATTAAACGAGTGGTTCTAGGTACGTGAATGGCTTAAATCGCCTTTATACATAAACTCACTACAGCAGCCATAAACAGATATTGTGTAACATAATGTTATAACTTAAAACACGATACAGTTGTTATCTGTGCTGTTTTCCATTAGCCCGTGCCGAGCTCTCAGTTGATGGAGACGAGCGGAGAGCGGGCGCGCGAAAATTGGCTAGTAGACACAAAGGTAGCAGGTGCCAGAGAAACAATTTGCATTTTTCAGTCACGCGCACAGTCCGTAATAGGAGGTCGTCGTTAATTTTAACGGTAAATGCATTTTCTCGCATCCATCAACGACAAACCTTCTTTGCAGGGGTAGTGACAGGAGTTTAAGCACAGATGATTCACGTCTAAGGAGTTTGACTGACCTCTGAACAACTTTCGAGTGTTTCACGTTGAATAAAGACTGAAAACCTAATTGAAGTAATTAATTATGCTCTACGGTTCGTCAAGTCAACACTTACTTCCCTTGGTGGAACACTTAGGGCCGGTTAATAAAACAAATTTTAACCGTCGTTTAACAAAACCGCATTCTAAGCCTTCTTCAATTTAGCCGAACCTTTTATCCAAGAATCAATTTTTTGTAAACAGTGTCAACAGGCCGATATCTAAAAGTAGACGGACATCTATTTAAATCAAATCAACCCTCTTATGGAGAGTCACCGAGGCCCACTGCTTGCGTAAAACCGCGGTTTGGGTTGGATCTCGTTTAAATAAGCGGCCCTTAAAGTTTCAATTTCCATATTAACGAACTAAGCGTTTATTCCTTGTTACCGATCTTTTGTTGTATGGATGATTGTATTAAACTAAGGAATATTAGTGTCACTTCACTTGACCTTGCCACTAAAGCCCATTGTGCTTTTGTCCAATGAGGAACGTTTTTTATTACTTGTAATCGGTCTCTTGTGATTCAGACACTTTGATTTTAAAATGTGTAAATAGATGCACTTGCTGTGTTTGCGTTGCTATCGAGTTCAGAACTAGGTCAAACGGAAACAATTCGCCCATACACAAAGCGATATGTCTGGAGGAGGTGGCTGGTTTGTATTTATTGAACTGATTCGTCAAGTCAAGTAAAGATAAAGACTTGCGGAATCTACTAATGAGAATTGGATTTCATGACCTAAGGATTCATTGCATTACATGGAGGACATTAAGTGCAGAATAGATTGGAATACAAAACAATTTTGACAAAACAAGGGCAGGACAAAGGAAATAAATTGAAAGAACTGAAGTGATTAGCAAGATGTGGGCTTTCGAGCTCAGAGGGAAACAATCAAGTAAGAGAGAGATCCAACTGGACTGCGCGGTTTAGAGAACCTTTGTAGTAACATTGTGCTATTTTTATCAAGCAAGTTGAAGCCGGTTTAGAAAAGGGTCTTTTTAAAATTAAATTCTCATGAAGAATAAGCGCGGAAAAAAAAAGAGTAAAGGCAAGAACCGTCAAAGGTATGGCAGAGAAAACACAGCTAACGCCAGTGAAATGAATTCGCTTACAGAAAAGGTCAAGGACATAAAATCAGGTAGATTTCAGTTCAGTCTTGTTGGTGATGATCATTACAGTTTTTACGAGAGAACTTCAGTGAAACTCGAGGCCGAGAAGGGATGTAAAAGTTCTGAATGTTCTATTGAGAATGAGGGAGTACAAACGAAATCCAAGGAGACTAAAGGTCAACATAGATCGGCTTTGCCGCCTTTGAAAGATTTAACAAAATCACAACAACGGAAGCAGTTGACAAGAAATGCTTGCGGTCAATCGAAACTCGATACGACACTTCGAAACGACGGAAATCACAGGAAAGAAAACATTACCTCAACCTCCTCTGAGAAGTCAAAGACGCTCGCGAGTGTATCTTTTGTAGGTATATACGATTTGGATGACATGAATAACACCCAAGTAAACAGGGAATATGGTGTTTTAAACTTAGACAATGAAAAAAAAGTTGAAGGAGAGAGCGATGAAGACAAATCCAGAGAACAGGTCGAAAAAACGTCAGGGTATGTAATTCAAACTTTAACGCTTGAAGGGGAGAGTCATTTCAATAGGAAGGAATCACTCCATAATAAACTCATCCTTCCTGGAATAAAACAGAACAAAAAGTTTATTGGCGATAAAGTTGAAACATTTCAGAGACGCGAATCATTGTTTAAAGAAAGAGAAAAAAACAACAGACTTCCAAGGTTAGTTCATAGTAACCAGAGACCTCCTAGGATTGTTCAACGCTTTTCAAAACGGATTCAGGGCAATCGTAGGGGAAAAACTCGAACAAATCATAAGTCTTTTGAACAAGTTTATTTAGAGAGAGAAATTCCTCGGTTGCCACTTGTTTTAAATGGACGAATAACTCAATTTTGATTTCCTCAAACTCTACTTTAATTACGATTGGTTGTATGCAAGCCTCTTCTTTTCTTTCCATTTCCGTGATTCACAGTGCAGTCATCGTACAATAAATTTCTAGAATCTATAATTGGTCATGGTTTCCTTTGTCATTTTCTAGCTGTTAAAAAATGTTTTGTCGGTGTGTTTCCAAGCTTTTGCTTACGCTGATCTATGCAAAAAATGTAAAGCCACACTTGCAGATTACTTAACCGATCTCAATCGACGGTGCGATCTCTGAGAGGAGCACTGCTAAACCAGTGAAGCAGTATTTTCTCTTGATCATTTGATACGCAAATGCTAGAGAAATCCAAAAGCATTTCTAGTGTCGTCATGTATCCTCTTCTCCTAGTTGTTAAATGCATTTAGTCAACAAGTCCGTGTGGGAAAGACGTCAGACACTAATGAACTTATGGATCAGAGAGAGTGCTTTTTTGTCTGAACACAATGCTAATCAGCTCTAAGGTGCTCATACTAAACTTAACATCAGCAGGCCTTAAGTTTCCATTGTCGCTGTTACACAAAGGTGCGCAGTAGTAGGCAAAGAAAAGAGGATTGAAATGATACACAAGACAAGTGTAGTCTAAAAAGACAAAATGGCGCACAGTGGTTGGCAAAGACAAGTGAAGTGTAATGATACACAAAGGCGCGCCGTGGTTGGCAAAGACAAGAGTACTGTAGTTTTTTAACGAAGTAAGCGTATGAGAATCGAAAAAAACTTACTTAACATAAAAAAAACTCGTTTAACTTTAAGTCTTTTGGGGGCTGCTATGGAAAATTAAACTGAAAATTATATTTCCAGTACTTATGTGCGTTAACAACTAGAAATGAAATAAATGAAATGAAATGAAAACATTCAAAACCCTGACGGCTTCATGAGGAATTTTTCCAATATATTACAGTGATTCTGAGAACTGTTCAGTATGACCATCTGGCGTGACTTCATTGTCGTATTTTAACTTGGCGCAGCAATGTTACCAGTGGAAAACGCTCCGGGGACGAGACTGGAATGCAACACCTCACAACGATGCATCACACCAAGTAACTGTACATTTCCGTACATAGTGAAGGGTGTGAAACCGAAAACATAGAACAACTTCCCCCCCCCCCAAAAAAAAAATGATTCATCGCAGTTTCTATGGAAATCATTCGTGCTTACGCATGGAAATTTAGATTAAAGATTTCGAGAGAAAGAATTTACAACAAAAAATGAAAAAACTGTCTAGTGGAAAACCTTCACCGAAAGGCGTCAATGATCTCAACCAGTGTCCACCTTCGTTCCCAGTGCCTCCATCTCCTCCACCCACCAAATCGTTGCGAAAGATAGAGACTCTGGGAACAAGTAACTTGTTCGATGTATTTGTTTGTATTACCGCTGTTTATTTCCTTACATAATGCATCGATTATTTCCCACTTTACGATAACTTTTTCTTTCTTGCATACCGTATGTATGTGATCATCATATGCAGACGGACGTTTTCCTACAGTTAACAGCAGTCATCTGGCACGTTGACAACACTTTCTTGTCTACAATGTTACCAAGCTAAAAAGCCGCATTTGTCAAATAAACATCTTCCAATTACTTTAAATAACTCTTTAGTACTTTGCTCTGTGAACTTCATCACTTGCTCCTGTCGTCAATACAGACCTTAGTATTCTATACGTACAGACGGACCACACAGGTTTCTTATTTTGAAAAGCTTTCACCACATCAAGCAAAACGTTGTTCTCCTTGAGTAATTACTAATTAACTGTTTTAGGCTGCAGTTTTCTATTGGGAGTAATTTGTAGCCTTTTGTTTAAAGAGAGATTAAGGCAATGTCGTCAATGAAGATTACCATCAAATTATTTCATATATCTTGCTCTGTTTCGAAAGGTGTAATATGTACTACACTTCTGACAGTTAGAGCTTCGAGCTTATTTCGAGGATTTTCATCCACCCCGCTTCCTGCTGAAAAACGTTTCTTCTCAAATACTGTAAATTTAATGGAAAGGTTGACACACTTCTAATGCACATTTTTACAACAGTTATTGAACGAACAAAGTAATCTTCAAACTGTCAACATCGCAATTTAACGAACGCTGTGTTTGCACTGAAAGTAAACAGTCACAAAGCGAGAAAAATCGCTCACGCCTAATGGAATGAAAATTTTAACAAGATTAGATATGATCTGTTTTCATGACGACGCAAACTTCGACACCAACACGAAACAATGGCGAAACTAAACAAGTACAATGTGTTATTCGAAGACATTCAAATCCAACTACGAAGACCAACCGTTCCAAGTGTCACAGAGGAGAAGACTAGTCTTAAAAAACCTCCATTACTTTTGCCGAAGTCGAAAGCAAAAGAAACTTTATCGAGGACAGAAAAGGGCCTACAAGTCGACTTAGAACTGAATGTTCGTGGTTTTAGCAGGAAGGACAACAAAAGCTTTGGTAAGCGGACAAAACGGAAAGGCGAGAAAAAAAAGAGAAAATCCAAGGATAATATCAAAGGTTTGTCATCCCCTAGCAACAAGATTACCCATCAGAACAATCCGCAAGTTTCTCTCCCTCCGATAGATTCTAAATCTTTAACGCAACAACGCTTGGGTAATGTTCTAAGCTTCTCAAATACAGCGACTTTTAAGCCATACCGAGAATTTGAAATTGCGTTTAATACGCTTGTGAAAGTAATCGAAAGGAGCAAAGAAGAGCAGAAAAGAACTACAAAGAGATTTCAAATGAATATCGTCCAAGGGGAACAAAAACCAATCAACGAGAAACTTCAGTCGCAAGAGGAAGCGAAAGACAATTGTTTACGCGAGTCACAGAATTGCTCAGTGATATCGGTTTAATCGAGTTATCATATTGGTTATCGTGCAATTGCAAACCAACAGCTTAATGAAGCTCTCCAGTATGTGAGCCGTTATTCTGGATCTTAGTTACTCACGCGAAAACGAAAAATTCCCAAGCGGACGTTTAGCACATCGGCTGTAATCAGTAAAAGCAACATTCAGTGTCTCAAGATGATGCGAACTCATGAGCGAATCACAATTTTCAGACCATTCACTTTTAACTGTCTTTTAATACGAAATATTCTCCTACGATGAAGGCTGTTCTTTCATTAAAAGGCCAAGTTTCACATTTTAAACCTTTGTAGGTACAATTTAGACCTTCACAGATTCAGATGCGAGACGTAAGTCTAGTTTTACGAACTGCAAACTAAAAAATATCACACGCGATACGTAATTTCGGGCAGCTGCGTGGTAGAAAAACAATTTGCTCCAAATTAAATTACTTGTTTCGTACATTACTGTATAGAGTGTAAACATCATGTCTAGAAGAAAAAGATCTCCTAGAAAATAGAAGTTGAATAAATAAGATTCCTTTAGATGCTGGTGAATCTTCTTTTGAATTTCACTGAAACACAGTAATACAATCGCTGCGCTTCTACCGAGAAAAAGATATTCTTACTAAAAAGAGGGTAATTTGTAGTTAATTGAAATAATGAAGGCTTTTTCGTTGGGGGAATTATTTTCAGTTTGTATATAAAACTCAGGTAGAGATCTCATTCAGAGGAACAGTTCATCACGACAAAAGCCAAATTTCTCGCAAGACAATTTTTTCCCCTGCTATGTGCAGAATATTTTCAACAGCTGATATGTCCCCGTTGGTGTCAAATCACCAGTCCGGTGCAATCCAGTCGAAGAATTTCATGGCTAATTCAAACCCAAGGAAACAAGCCTGTCAAAAAGAAAACAGCGAATTGATAAAAAACAATTTATCCATAAAGATATGGCGGGATTGGTTTAAACGTTTTCCGCATTAGAGCGTTTTGGATTAAGTATCGGAAAAAAACTGTTTAGTGTTTCTAAAAGCCAATCACAGACGAGCCAATGAAAAATAAAATTAATAACATGCAAGCGCGAGAAAAAGCGAGGAAGCAAATCACGGTCTGTTTTAGTTTTCCACGATTCGTTAAAACTATAGCGCGAGTTTTCTAGACCGCTTAACGATAACTGAAAAGTAATAGCAAAGATGTGCAAGTCAATGAAGGTCTAATTTTGTGTACATGGATGTAATCCAAAGGTGTCCCTTCAATTGAAAGCAAACGAGCAATACCTCCAGTTGAATGAAGGGGTAAGTTTCTAAAGAGATTGTGGTGCTGCCAATTTACGTTATCAACTCAATTGATAACTCAAAATTACCCAATAAATTGGTTCTTCTTGTTTTCATATCCACTCAGTGTCAAATTCAAAACGGAAACCACTGAATGATGCAATTAAAAGAGTCTACTTACTGCGTTAGCTGGAAAAGCTCTCAGCATAACTGGAGTCAGGCCTCTAAAGAGCGCCCCAGGTCCTTCCTCACGCATCTAAAATGTTACAATGCGCACTCAGTCAGGAAGATCACACTTCGAAAGTTACTTCTTACGAGCTTATCAGTTACATGAAGAGAGTGAGTTATGTTTTTCTGCTTGGACGGAATGCAAGTCCTTAGCAAGTTAACAAAGTCATGTGACCAGGTCAGGTGACCAGGACCCGACCACAGGCCTCTTCATGCAAAGTCCAGCGCGGTAATCATGGGCTTTACAGTATCCACGTCACCCTCAGTATCACACACAGTGAGACTGACCAAACTAAACTGACATGCTCCGCAGCAACAAATTCGTAGAACTGAACTTACCATGTGTCTAAAAACATCCCTAACACCATTTGGATAAGTTCCTTCAGGTGCTGCAAATAATAAACAAAAGTAAAATTACCTTTCTCCATTTCTAATTCTGTTCCTGCGCATTTTCATGTGCCTGGAAATTTTGCTGACAAGTTACATTTGCTTGTGACGATGTACGACAAATCAGGATCAATATCAGTATCTGGGCAACTGCCCACCTACCCCTCCCCTAACCCAACATTAACCCTAACTTGTTATCAATTGACTGTTGTTGAGTTAGGGGAGGGGTAGGTGGGCAGTTGCCCAGATACTGATATTGATCCAAAAATCATACTAAGGAAAAATTCTCTTCTCTTCCCTCTAAATTTCTATCATAATGCAACCATTTACCATTTAACTCCCAGAGGTGATTAACATGTAACCTCTCCCTTTAATGTCCATACAATGTCCAGAAAACAAGAAATGAGAATACTCAAACTTATCAGGTAAGAGTTGTTATCTTGATTTAACACCAAATTCTCTTAACTGATTTAGAAGGACATGTGAAGCAGCCAGAGGGGAGAATTTCAAATCAGATTTTGGGCTCAGTTAGAGGGTTAATATGCACTTTCACAAATACAGGAAGGCTGAAGTACATCAAACTGAGCAATATTAGCTGAAGAACAGTGTAGTACTGCCCTTTGTCTGAAAAAAAAACCAAGAGCTGTAGAGCTGTAGATACTGTGAGAAAAAATGTTGAAACAGGATTTGCCAGATAAAAATACTAGTGTTTAGGAGATAGTGTGGTTACTTGTTACTGGATGGTGAGTCATCAGACATTCATCCTATACCTCACTTTCTCATAAATATATTTGTGCGTGAATTTCAGGTCCAAATTCCTCTTAATGGTCATGTCCTAGAGAAGCTGTCTACTGTACCTGTTTGCAGACGAGACTTAAGTACATCTGGTGCTATACCAACACTCCAGTTCATCATGCCTGCCACACCTGTGAACAGAAACAGTAGGACCATTTTTCACTTGTCTTACTCAAATTTATTCTCATTTCTACACATGGGTATTCAGTGAAAAGGAAAATACACATGCAGTAGACCCTATGAATGATTTTAAAAAACAAAGAGAGGATAAGAAGGAGAGATTTTGTTGTTTTAAGAACAATCTCATCCAACTTCTGTGGCCCTGGGTTTCCTTCCTCAAGTTCAACATGAAAAAAAGGAAAAAGCAACATTTCAGGTTTGAGAATGAAATGGGAACTTTACCTCCTGCACAGAGAATTGACAGAGCTCCAACATCTTTTCGCCTATTACAAAAAAAGAATTGTAAATTAGTAGGATTGTTAACACAGGGGTAATACCATCTTTTAACTCCCATACATATTATTTTGTTCATCCCTGATTTGAGAACTTCTCAGTGACTAGCAAGCAGAATACTCACGTCTTTCCCTCTGGAGTGAGTGCATTTAAGAGAAACTCATATGACGCAAAGTACATTCCTGAGGCCGGTACATCTGTAGAAAACCAAGTAAACATGAGAAAATATTCCACATTTTACAAACAATCATATCCACAGCAGATCAAATTATAAAACTGAAAAATGCTAGAAAGCACGTTATCCTGAAACTTATTCTCAAAGTAATAAATGCATCATAACACATTTATGATCATGCTAAAACTTTCATCACACTCTTTTTCCAGTTGGGCATGAATAAGACATCTAATGCTTACTATACATATTCTTTTGTTACTAAGACAGTATATAAAGATGAAGCAGCTGCTAAATGTTTGAGATTTAAACCAAGTATTCTTAGTAGGGGGTACATTTCATATACTGTCTCTCCTTCCCACCCTACCCTCCCAGCCCAGATGTTCTATCGCATTACCCTGACAATATAATAGTACTTAGTTCACATAGACTGAAGAAAATTTTAGTGAAAATGAAATGGTTCTCTTGAGAAAATTAACACGTTGACCAAGTCTCACCCTTTCACAAAACACATATCTTGAAAAGACTAATACCCATTACTTTTAACTGTTTAAATTCCCACCTCTCAATAAAGTTGCACATGTTCCTTTGTATACTCCACGGATTCCACTCTGTTTGTAAAGCTTCTTCACTACATCACTCGGTCCAGCATATTTCTTTTCAGCTCCACTAGCCTGCTGAATCTACAGAGAGATTGGCAGAGAGACCATTATATAATTTACAACAACCAAGAATTTAACCATCCAGGTTTAAATTTTTGTTACCATGACAACCAGGGCTAGCCTGTTAGTATTTCAGACAGCCAACCAGTATTTTGGTTAGTTAACATATCCAACTCTGACTTTCAATCTAAATGCAGAAAGAACTTTCTATATAAAATGCCTCTTAAATGTGTCCTTGTTTTTACTGAGCTGAGCATTTACTTTAAAAACTTACTTGTAAAATACACTTTATTCTTTCTCCTGGAGCCATAATAACAGTTGTACAAACTCCAGCAAAAAAACCTGATGTCAAAATTTGAAAATACCTGCGAAAAGGGAAACAAACCTATCATCAACTGTAATTTAAATGGATCTCCATGGAAACTAGAAAACCATGTGAAAACTCAAACTGAATGTGACATCAGGATGGGAATTGACTGCAAACCACAGAAGTTGGAAGATAAGCCACAATGCCTTCCATGCTTCTCAAAAGACCATTAGCTTATCAACCAGAAGACCTCCAGGTCTCCCATGGTTGAGCTGTACCCAAATCAAGTTTATCATTTTACACAATGACATCTGACTTACGTTGGTTCATCAGTAGGATTCTTGAGCTGCAGTTTTTTGCCCATGTTAAATCCCCAGAAACAGATGGCAAATATTGGTGCTACACCCACAACAGGAGCTGCCATTCCTTTGTATAAACCAAGAATTCCCTGGAAAGAAAAGTCCAATTTAACCATTCTTAAGGTATGGACCAAAATCACAAATCACCACACCTTTAATTTTAAGTATACGGCTGGGTGGAAATTATTTCTCTCATTAAAGGAGCTCTAAAATGGTTTAAGAATCTTGACAATGCAAGCCTAAATTAAGTCATCCACAAGGCACATTTGTCCTTCTCACTTTTTCCCTGCATCTTTGGTGTCTTCCAACTCTGCTTAACTGTTATTTTTGAGACAAATGAATAAAGGGGGTAAGTTTCTAAAGAAACTGTGGTGCTGCCTCAGTGGAAGGGTATAATAGGGTAATTTAGTATTATCAATTGAGTTGATAACATAAATTGGCCACCGCTAACAGGACCAATGCTGTCTTTTTGAGAGTTAGCCCTTCATCATTCACTCTGACCAAGGGCTATGCTCAAAATGTCAGCTTTGAAACTCTCTATGGTGGCCAATTTACATTATCAACTCAGTTAATAGTACTAAATTACCCTGTTATTTTTCAGGTTTCATTCCAACCCTAGTCAAGGATCTCAGCAGGGACTTTTGAAAGGGGTTCAAAGTTATGAATTTGTCTACCCCTTCCAAGAGGTGGTGTGTACCACTGCTCTACCTTGGGTACCAGCTGGCTCAATTATTCATGTGGGGATAAGGACCAACAAGAAGAGGAAAAACAAACAGAAAATTCCCATAGCGGCAGTGTAGATCAAAGTGCAATTTATATCGATTACAACTTTGTGATTATACAGTATCTTAAAAATCTTGAGAGTTTTATCTGCATAACCCACCAGATATCAAACCCAACATTCTCTTTCCTGTTGGCCAGATTTATCAGTTGATTGATAATTTTGTTGATGAGTTTTGACTGTAAAATTATGGTATAGTTACAGACAAGCTTCCTCGTTTCCAGTGGTAACCAAAACTTGAGAATTGTGCATTCCCAACCGTTAAATGTAAAAGCCTGCTAAAAACAGTCAAATGGCTTGTTGCCACTGGAACGGAGCCAGCTGCCTGTGACAACAACAAAACTTTATCATCAGAACATAGTTGTCCAACTTCCTCTGTGCCTCACTCAACTAAAAATTGTAGTAACACATTCACCATGTTTTATAGTGTTTGTGACAGTGAGAGCTACAAAATCTCACCTCCTTTCTAACTGTTTTAAGAGCACAGTCAAGAGTTCCAGTGAACAGTGGCTTCTGCCCTGGCTCTGGTTGGGGCATGGTTTGAAGGCGAACCTGACAAAATCATGATAATCAATCAAAAGAAAACAATGCATACAAACAAACAAAATAACATTTGTAAAAAGTTAAAAAACTGAATGACACAGCATTATGATATGAGCACTTCACTGAGTGATATTAGAAAGAGCTTAATGTTGCGTGACATATTTCCATTTTACGTTTGTTTCCTCACATTGAGGAGATAGCTTCCATGCATAAATAAAAATATTCTGTTATGATCTAATTAAAGACAGCATCTTTGTTATCTGAAGTTGCCCAAATCCCCCAAAGATGGAGAGATGGAGAGATGGAGTCTTGCTCAGGTAAAAAAACTGTGTATTTCGAGTTGAAAAAATCCATTCATAAATTCATCATCTCATTCACGAAACAGGTAAAATCAAAACCGCAAGCCTGATATTCGAGAAAAAAATAAAGAGAAAATTTCGTTTCTTTATTCTGTTAAATGATAAATCTGTTGCATATCTAGCGTTCTCAGTGTTTGTTTACTTCATTTTATCACCAGATTGTACAAATTTTACGAGACTTGACAATGGTGCCGGAGGAAAAATAGCACTGAAGTTCATGGACTTTGAACTTTGCACAAAATTTTTGGTTTAAAAATGACTTTAGAGTGAAAAAGCCTCTTAAAATCGACCATTGATAACGCAACCATGATTATACTTGCTCTAAAAGCTATATCCAGTTGTATCATTTCCAGATTATCCATCATTTTTTTTAACGATTCCACGTCACGAAAGGTATTTGGAAATCATTTTGTTCACGACATAATTTACCTTGATCGTATCAAGTGGATGGCCAGACACTACGCAACATATTCCTCCAAATCCTCCAGCAAGGAAGTTCTTTACACCAGAGGTACTTCTGGTTTGCTTCTTTTGAGGCTCAGCAACAGCGATCTCTTTCTCTGCCATGATGATTACACCGGTGCTTCTTACTGACTATCAGTAATTTGCCGTCATGAGGATTGTTATCAACCAGCACCGTGGGGACTGGGGTCTAGTCTTCCGCCCAGATCCTATCATGCTTGCCTTTAGCAGATACAGAAAGTAGATGCACAATATCGTAATTGTAATGGTCCCTGCGTTCAGCGGGAAAATACGTGATTCTCGCATGTGTCCTGTAAAATTACGCAGTAGAAGCCAACAATAAAGAAGCTCACAGGAGTTAAACTTTGAACTCGACGTTTCCAGTTTCTCCTTGTCAAAATTTTCATCGGTAACTCACCCTCCCTCCTTTCCGCTTCTGCCAGTGTTCTCTCTTTACATTTCCCAGCCCCATCCATATGATCTATTACAATCCACATATGATTTGTATGCGGTGAATCCATAAGAATTTTCATATTTTATTGTTTTGATATCTCAATACATAACATCCTGAGATCCTATTGATTAACTCGAGCGAAGTGTCAGTGGTAATGAAAGCAGCAATTCGCTTACTGAGCACTCAATTCTCAAATTCACAAATAACTCTCTCCACTTTATTTCTCGGATAAAACTCGAATACAGTTCCGTATTTTGTTACAAACACATAATTCTATTAAGGGATTCAGACATGCTATTCAGGAACCTTTGAATATTAAAACTGTACAACTTCGTATCTGCACTGCAGAAGGGCGTTCTTTTCTTTTTTTTTTTTAATACGAATCAGTATAACTTGAGAGAGAAGAAATTCTCTAATAATAGATCGTCTGCCTTGCCGTGGTTGAAGTTTAAAAGTTGATGGCTTTTCCAGCGTAAGCTGCGATGTTAGCTTCTCTGAAGGCTTCCGAGACAGTCTGCAAAGAAAATTTAAATAAATGTTACCTCCATACTATTTTAGTGCGGGTACAGACGTCAGCGATTTCCCTAAGAAATAAAATTGCAATGTAAAACATTTGACAAAGATTCCTCAGTTCATTCGGCTAAGCTTTTAGACGAATTTCTTGCACGTTCAGAACCGACAAGGAATCGTATTTAAAACATAAATCAGAGATAGCTTACTCCGAAATTCCTCACAAATTCAACGCGAGGCAGAATCCATGATATTAAATTGGACCGAAATTTCACAAATTCACAGAGTAGAATTCTATCCATTTTATTTCCAGATCGAATCGGATGTTTGCGTGTTAGTTTTTTAATAGAAGAACAAGAAGCAACAACAAAATCAACATAAATAAAACGCCGTAACCGAGGCGTTGAAAACCCGATCCACACTATTCCTGGCGTAGCAATCCCTCAACTGAAACACCCCCACCCCCCTCTACCCCCTGTTCTTTCAGATTCAACCCTTACCGGATGTGCATGACATACTCGTGCGATGTCCTCACTAGACGCCCCATACTCCATTGCGAGAGCAGCCTCGTTGATCATTTCTCCAGCAACTGGTGCGACCATATGACACCCCAGCAGTCGGTCAGTCTCCTTATCGCTCAGAATCTTTACCAGTCCGTCAATCTCGGCGTTTGTTCGCGCTCGGCTGTTGGCTGAGAGAGGAAACTTGCCAACCTTATAGGCCACACCCTAAAAAGTAAGAGAAGAGAGAGATTTCTAAATTTACGCCAATCATGGTTTACATTAATACAAAATTGTGACAGAGTGCTTTAGCGGAGAAGTCTTCGAGGAAGAAGACACGAGATGCGTGTATCAATGCTTCAGCTGATTGCTATAGCGCAGAACTCGAACCTGACATAATTAGTTGTAACAATTCTCCAGAACAACGTTTTCTCGTACTCCTCTCCCTATCCAATGTTGTTAATCGCCGATGCTTCTATGCCATCTTGCAGACCAACATTGAGAAGGGCAGGGAAGGCAGTAGTGTGTCAACTAATGTGTCTGGGAGTGTGGGAAAGCTGGAACGGTAGTCCTTTAATTACAGTAACACGAGAGACCAGAAATATATAGAAGCGCCTTCTTTAGTCTCCGTAATTCAAGCGTTTTACCTCCTCTTTCAGCATCTCTTCAGTTTTTCCGACCCAGGCCACTTCGGGGTGAGTGTAAATCACACTCGGTACGCAGTTGTAATCGATGTGAACTGCGCCACCAGCGATACCTTCCACACAAATTATACCTGGAAAAGTTAATTCCACAAATAAGTTAATTCCCTACATAGGTGCACTCAAATGAAATGAAATTCGTGATATTAAACAAACCTTCATCTTCAGCCTTGTGTGCCAGCATTGGTCCATGAATGCAGTCGCCAATTGCATATATACTAAGAGAACAACGGATGCATTACGACTAAAAACTTGAAAATTACGTAAGGTTCTTATCACGCTGTGCTGTACCAAAAAAATCGTGCGATAGAAAATTCGTGGCAACTGGGACTTCACAGCCCCTAATGAATAACGATTTGTGTCTTAACCTAAACGGCTAAACGGTTGCCTATAGGAGAGAAAGACACAAGGGACAGACAAGCAGACAGTACAAGTTTAGGACAGACAGACAGAAAAAAAGGAAAATTAGCAGACAGTAAGACCAGCAGAAAAAAGGGACGGACAGACACTGCCACAGACAAAAAGAAAAAAATGTCTCTGAGTAGACAAGAGCACAGACAGTCAAAAAGGACAGACAGACTCACAAATAAACAAGATAATTTTGTTTCATTATTCAAGTTGATAAAGTAAATTGGCCGCAGAAAATAGTTTCTAAAGCTGACGTTTCGAGCAGAAGAGAACATATTGCATAAAAACAAAAAAAACCGACACGGATACGAACATGTCTTACCTAGGAACGCTAGACTGGAATCTTTCATTCACAACAATCCGGCCGAGAGGATCAAGAGGAATACCAACTTTCTGAAAAAGAAAATTAACAGTAAAAGACGATTTTTGGTGGTGATAACTGAACAAACTCTATCGCACTTAAGTTTATAATGTCCCGTGCGCTTTGAAAATTTTCAGCGCGCTGCAAACTCCGCAGAGCACATGAAACTCAAATAATATTAATTTAATGTAAATAACGTTGTTACGGTATCCGCCGCTTTCGCCCCCTATCGAGTTCACCCCTTCGAGTTCGCCCCTACCTTATACCGTGTTCGCCCCCACACTTTTCGAGTTCGACCCCATCAAGTCGAGTTCGCCCCTTGATTGAGTGATATCCAGATGAGTTGATTCGTAAGTTGATGAGTAAATTCTTCAGTCTTAATTTCATAAATAAAGCTAAACGGGTACAAGTCTAACAACTTAAGCAATGCTGCCGCGATGAAAGCGTGGTTTGCATCTTCTCAAGTCTGGTTGTTACGATCACCACATTTCGTGTTCGTTAGATAAACCGTGTGGTTCTCTTTATCACAAGTTCAGTGTATACAGTTATTTCTGGTAACCCCAGATCCCACGCAGAGTATTTAGTTGATTCCGTCAACTAGTTCCCAAGCAGGTTCCACGCAATTGCCGAAATTCAAAATGGTCGTCGCTGACGTGACATTTGGCACATTCCGCTAGTGCCTTCGTCACAAATCAACTCATCTGGATATCACTCAATCAAGGGGCGAACTCGACTTGATGGGGTCGAACTCGAAAAGTGTGAGGGCGAACACGGCATAAGGTGGGGGCGAACTCGAAGGGACGAACTCGATAGGGGGCGAACGCGATGCAATTCGTTGTTACAGTTAAAGACGAACAGCAAGGGTAAGGCGCAACGTTTGGAAAATAAAAAATGCTGGTGTTGAAGTGTTAGGCTCAATTACAAGCGAGTGTTAGCAATCAATAGTCTACAAAACTGACCTCCAACCCTAATCTCGTCGTGTAAGGTCTTCTTCCAACACATACTAAAAGAACATCGCCTTCAAGCTGTAAATTGAAAAGCAAATTCCCAAATTAGTTAGCTACTACAGCAGCAGGATAAACACACACAGAAGCAACACGTCAAACTTCACAAGGCCAAACACCAATGGTACCTCTTCCTTTTTCGAACCATCTTTGGCTGATTCCACGCTGTAACAAAAAACAAAAGACAACTGAAAGTTCCATCATGAAGAATCAGTCCTTAGACTCTTCTGTGTCACGAATCAAAGCTTAATTTATTTAAGTAGGAGGTTTTTTTTTCTTTTTTTAACTGTTACCTCACTTTGATTCCATCTTCGGTTCTTGTTGCACCTAAACGATAAACAGAGGAAATATTAATGTTTGTACGTGTATGAATTCGATTACAAGAAGTCAAAATAATTTTGCATTCTTCTAACAGTGAATTCACTTCAAAATCCGCTTTTGTTTGAACCTTACCTGTCACTTTTGTGTTAAGTTTGAACTTTATTCCTTGCTTCTGCAAAATTCTCTGGAAATTTTTCCTGCATAATATTAAAGGCACAAAAGTAAAACATCAATAACTATGAGTAGGGTTAAAAAGAATGAAAATCTTCATATTAAGATAAACAGATGAATGAGGAGTCATGAAAGAAGTCATCCTACTGATAAAAAATATGAAAAAATGAAAGGAGTTTCAAATGGAAAGGTGGGAGAGATGGAAAGGACCAAAATAGTTATCTTATTAAGCATGCTGTGCCACTGAAGGAACTGGAGAACACTGGGAAGTTATTTACATGTATCACTAAGAAAGCCTTGAGCAAAGAGAAAACATTAAGCTTAATACTGAAAATAGCAATTTCAACTTACGCGACTTCCATATCAATACCAACACCACCAACATGTCCCAAAAATTCAACAGCTGTCACTTGTGAGCCAAGTCTTGACCAAACTGAACCCTTGAAAACAAACCAGTAACGTTGCAACCTTAAATACCATGCCCAAACTTGTACAGTTCTTTACATGTCAAACTTTTAGTTTCCTTTCAACTATGGTAGTCTAAGAAGAGTACTGTAGCTCTCAGGCACACGTCTGTTGTCTATACAATCAACAGTGAACAGAATTTGGTAGAAGACACAGCAACAGCATATTGGTATGGCAAAATAATATGTTTTTCAACTGTCACATGACTGAAAACAATTATGCATTTATGAGGTAAGCATTTCTTTTGGAAGTAAAAAAAATTTTATTGGGCCTTAACGAGAATGTTGAATTTCTCAAATGTGTGAGCAACTAACCAATTCAACCCCAATGACACCTGCTCCAATAAGAATTAATTTCTCTGGGACTCTGTTAAGTGAGAGGGCACCAGTCGAGGATATGACAACTTGTTCATCAAACTGTGAAAAGATCATAACAACATCATAATATCAGGATCATTTTGTTAGTGCCACAGGAACAAAGCATGCATTATGCAATGAGCTGAATATAAACACACATAATGAATGGTGCTATCTTATGATCTGTTGACGGACAGATGTATCATGACATCACCATTAACAAATTTTTAAATCACACAAATATATTACACGTTGCAGTGCACCTTTAAATACATCAAAGGTAACATCAAAATGTGGTAAGAAAATCAGCAGCATACTCTGCTACACTTTCTGCGCCACTTTTTCGTTTTCACCACATTTTGACATCATCTGTGATCTATCACTGAACAGAGGCACAGCAACATGGGATCTTTTAGTCAATCTGACAAAAGATTAGTCAAAGCAGCAGCTTGTTTCCAACCAGCACGATGTCATTATTAAACAAGGGTTTTACATGATCTTAAAAATAAACTTTAATGAGTTCCAATGAATGTGACAACAAGTGGTTTTTTTTATCCTCACCTCAATTCCAGGGAAGGGTGTCACTTCAGATCCAGTGGCTATCAAGATATTTTTGGTTTGAACAATTTCTGTGCTGCCATCCTCCTTATGAACTGTCACCTTGAAAATCATTAACACTGGGTAAGGGAGATTAGGAAAATGCAGATACATGCACAAGACAATATTTCTGTTTTGCAGTCAAGATTTGAATTTTTCAGGCAATAACATGTTCAGAATGTTAACTATCCCAAGCAGTATGTGTTGATGAAAACATTAGAAAACAACACTTAATTTTGCTCTATCACATCTGTAAAAGAGGAGGAAGAGTGTTATCTTGGTCTCACCTCATTTGGTCCAGATATAGAACCATGTCCATCTATGCGAGTTACCTGTAAAACAGGATACATTTCAGGAATATTAACCCTTTACTCCCAAACATCAGTACGCATATTCTCCTCACTGTTCTCTATACATTTCCAAAGATGCTGATAATGAGAATTTGTTTGATGATCAAAAGCTTAATTATTTGATATCATTTCCTTTATTCTCATGACCATACTGTGTGATTCAGGGGTGATATTGTAAGGAGAAATTAGATGCCAGTCACTCTTGGGGGTAAAAGGGTTAACAACAGTATTGTACAGCTTCTCCAGGGTAGGGTGAAGTAACAACTGCACATAGTCACAGACAGGGGTGGTTGTGAGGATAAGGGGATAAGGAGAGAGACTTGACAGAGGGGTGAGAGAGACCATAAATCATCAGCACAATGGTCATGAGAAATGGTCCAAAAAACTTGTTCCCTAGTGCTGTTAACAGGTGCTGACCCACAGAGAGGAATTTGTGGGATTGATATATTATTGACAGTGATATTTCCTAGGAGGATTCTGGTAACATGACTTAAAAAGCTAATCTTGGCAATGCTTGCACTCTTTGAAAGCTAGGTAGATACACTGGGTGGATACATCAACAACACTAATATTGTTTGGGCCATTACCTTATTCTGTTTAAATAAGTGAGCTATTCCATTTGTCAGTGTCTTTACAGCTGTTGTTTTCTGCTCCATCATTTTTTCGAGATTGAGTTTTACTTCACCCACTGTAAAATTAAAAGGAGATAAGAAATAACATTTTCATTCATTAACCAGTTTAAATATCATTAAATCATCATTAAAAGTTTATGGCAATATTCAGAGAGCAAATGTTATCAACCTTCTATTCCTCTGTTTTTGAAATCAGCAGTAACAGCTTGATGATACAAATGTGAGTTGTTCAGTAATGCCTGTAAATGATAATTGTAACAAACTATTATCAGCAATCAAATTGAAATCATAACTAAGACCAATTAATGCACAATAACAAATAGCAGTCTGAAAAAAATTGGTTCAAATTTTTTTTTTCTGTTTGAAAGAAACATAATCTTTTTTGCCAATATATTCTATTTTTTTGTTATGAACAACAAAATGAAGTCGTGTTTTACTTTTTACAACAGACAAACATGAAAAAAGCAAGAAATCAATTACCAAGGATGGGGCTTCTTCTACACTACACTGACATTGTGCTGACATCTGGGGGCATATCAAGTTGTTTCAATACAAAAAAAAAACTTGTTCTTGACAAATAAAGGGGGTGGGGAGGGGGTAGATTCACCTGAGAGGCTGCTCCTGCTACCTGATCAATTTTTTTGTTTCAATTTTTTGGAATATGCTGTGATGAGTTCTAATATAAATATTATTTTTTCAGATTGACTCACCTTTGATGGAATACATCCAACATTTAAACAAGTGCCTCCTAATGACTTTTCTTTTTCAACACAAACTGTCTGTAAAACAAAAGAATTAAAACCATGCAAAGCATTTTGCATTCAAACTTCCCAAAATTCACCAATTAATATGCAACATTTTCCTTGTCTTTCCTTATTTTAAAACAGTTCATGTTTTTGTACAAACCTTCATCCCAAGCTGGGCTGCTTTGATGGATGCTACATATCCCCCAGGACCTGATCCAATCACTACAAGATCAACTTCCCCTAAACAAGGTAATAAAATATCATTCAAAATTTACCATTTATTAGGACTGATATACCTGTGTATCACATATTCAACCTCATGAAACTGGGCATAATCAAAGATTATAAGGTCCATTTATCTGTAACAAGGTTGATATTTAAATGAAAGCACCAGTCCACCAAACATGTCAAAAGACCATAACAAAACAGATAAGAGTGTTGTTACTTCTCTCTTTAAACCTAACATACATTATGTTACCAAAAAAAGTACCCTCTCCTTCTTGAAAACCTGATATGCAACTCAAGATGCCCATAAAAGAAATGTGAATAAAAGAGATCATATAATGCACATGAAAATATGCTTCCTTCCAACAACTTGAGTTATATGTAACTTCGGTATCCTTCAAACTTGAAATAGTGAAATAGTATTTTCTTTATAATTTCCCACAGGGCAACTCACATTCCAGACAGTTGATAGTTCTCTGATTTCCTTTTTTGAAATTTGAGTTTAGAAGAGGAAACTTAAATCATAGTTATTTCACATAACTACAACCTTGTTGGTTTGACTGACTGACAAATTAACTTCATTCTTATGGGCTAGGGGGCTAGTCAATTCATTCTCGATTTTACATTAATACTGCAGTGCATTGCAATATCGTCAAAATTATAACCGTGACGAACTTAATAAAAAATTTCCCATCAGTACTGTAAAATTTAAAAGTTAACCATTAAATGTTCAAGATCTTTACTAGACAACTAATAACAAAGTTTGATAATATAATGAAGATGGTAATAAAAGCTCCATTCTAGTAAATAACTATTACAACTATTTACCATCTGTTGCGTAACATCTAGTGACTGCTGTAGGCTGACATCTTCCAGCCCGTCCAGACACTCTAAATACCTGGGAGGTAATGATTACAACAGTATTGAGAAATCAGATGGCAAAACTATCACCTCAGAATGTGATTAACCTACCTCTGGAGCTCTTGAAGATAACCCATATGTACGTCGGATGAAAGACAACATGTTTTTTAATGAAAATTGGTGAAAGTGTTGCTAAAATTATCGCCAGAGGTCACGTTATTTTCATTAGGTCCTGATACATGCAATACTTCTGCAAATAGCCGCTAGTTTATCGCGGCCTCAGAGCATGGTACGCTTGTACTTTATCGAGTAGCCGCTGACATGAGCTCGTTCCCAGGCTTTTCGGCCTTAGAAATTCAAGATGGCAGGGGTTAACTGGATTTTCGTATCAGTAGTGAACTGATAATGTTGTTGTCGTCCTCTCTTTACGTTTTCTTTCCTCTAGTATCGGCCTTTGGTATTGTGTGGGCTTTTACGATCTTCGAGCGTGTTAATGTTGAACTCGGACTGGAATATTATGCAGAGAAGGGAGATCCTTCTACGTTCCTTAAAATGCCGGCTAATGCCTCAGTGAACTTGGGCTATTTACTGGTTGGATTATACTGGCTGTGGAAGATACGTAAATTAGAAAAGAAGTTGAAAGATCAAGCATTCTTCTACTACTTGTTCTCGTGGATGTCAGTGTTTTATGCCTTAGTTCAATTTGGACGGATTGTGACACAAACGCGTTTGTTCGCTGTGATTGATCAATGGTTTACGCTTCCTTTCTTTGCATGGCTTGTTTGCTGGAACGAGTTTGTGTATCGAGGACAATGGAATACTGGTCGTTATCTATTTATTATGCGAATTTCTGTCTTAAGTTACTTTGCTGTGTTATTTCACAATAAGGGCTTTGAAGCAGTTCTCAGTCTTCATATCCTTGTTGCCCTGGTTTATTCTCTGAGGACACAGTTAAAACCCGGTCTAGGGACTGAAACATCGCTAATGTCAATGATCCTTGCGCTCATCTGCTGCACTGGGTTTGTCTGTTTAAAACTTGCGGATCATCAATTAGCGCAGTACTCTTTATTCCAAAGTTTCACTGGCCATTTTTGGTCTAAGGTTTGTGATGTTGGACAAATCCACTTTGTGGCTGACTTTTTTAAAAATTTGCACATGCGACCCAAGAATGATAAAAGAGTCTCTTAAGTTCTCAGCAAGATATGCTGGGAAACTCTTCAAATGGGCCTAGTGGCTAACCCTTTTAGTAAGATTTTTCCCATTAGCCCAAATGAGAAATTTCAGCTTGGTTGCTTTGTCACAAAAGATTTCCAGAGCACATACAATGTTGTGAAAGTAGCCTGTTCCTGGCAGATTCTTTCCAACCCATTATTTCACTCATCCCCACTAACCTATTTTTAAGTTCACTCCAAACTCACTAGGTAAATTTTCACAAGTGATACAAACAGCTTGTATAGTGATCAATCACTATCTGGGTGATAACAGAATACCAACACATCCTTGTTCACAAGAGACTTGTCAATCCAGTGGATACCAACTTGTTTCCAGTGTTTGCACCATCACAGAGAGGTGTTTACCTATGGAAGCATTTACTGTAGATATGATCACTAAAGATATTCATGGCATCATGGAAAAAAAATTAAAGTAAAAAAAAAAAAAACAAGCAGACACAAATATTTGAGAGTTATATGAAGAAAGTAGTCTTTTAATGGCTGTTGGGACATCTACACCATCTAGTCAATTTGCTAATTTTCATTAATTGTTATCATTGTTTAAAATACAATGTAAGACATCTGTTGCTAAAAATCCTTAGTTATCTCAACTCTGAAAGTTTCATCACTTAACACTGAAAAAACACTCCTAACATTTCTACACATTCTACAATGGTGCTCCTATTTAACATCAATATAAAATTTGAAATAATTTAGTTGTTGGGATTCTATTTACAAAAAATAATACTGCACTGGATGGAAGCCTGCTGGCATCCATTCTTCAAGTAACAGCAAAGCTGAGTGACTAGCTGCCTAGCAGGAGTGTGGCTTCACAACCCACTCTTACTGAAGAGAGCAAACTCTCGAGTCAGTACAAATATTATTTAAACATTAATTATAGTATGCAATGTTCAGGGAACAGATCACCCCACTGTAGATACAGATGATAAAGAAGCAGAATCCTGTATGGATGTATATTTTAATTCCAAAACAGTATTTGGGTCTGAGAGAAGTGTGTCAATATTGTCAGCAAATTTATCCCTGACTTCGTTGAAAATCATGACACTCTCCGGTTCCTCCTTGATCCAAAATGCACTGAACTCAAAGAACAAATAACCTGGAAAGAGAAAAAAAATTAATATATTTGCTACATTAATTAAGGAGAGTACATTCTAGTACTTTACAGTAATACCAACAACTTGCCATAAAATAAATTTTCATACTGGGGCAATTGATAGCTTCCCCACTATCTGTGGTCACGCACAGCACTCTATTTCTTATTTATGTTGTCACCCTTCAATTATTCCTTAGTTGTAGAGTTTACCTTGAACTACAGTTCAACTCAGAAAAAAATTTGTCATTACAGATATCTTACACAGTCCAACTTGAAATAAAATATTGTACAGTAGATGAACTTCCTTGAATTTGTGCTTCAACTCAAATAAGAACCCACACCTTTAATAACCATACTATCATGTAAGTACACCTTCCCTCCATGTGAGTTATTCAAATAGGCATGATAATAATGGTAGTTGCTGTTGCTGCCTTTCCTAGACCAAGATATCCAAAGAATACTTACTATAAACTTCATGAAAGTCCTCTACTGTTGGTTTGCCTTGTTTGCAGTTGTAGAAATGACTTCTAAGAGATCCTTTGTTCAAAAACTGAAGAGCTAGTGAAGTGACATTAATACCAGCAATGGCATAAGAGAACCTAGTGGCAAAGAATAATCATGATTATGTTAAACAAAAACACAGGTGCAGACATGATGACAGTAAGTGCCCTGAACACTGCATTGAAACGTTGCAATCCATACACAATTGATTAACCTGACTCTGACATCATGAGACAAACCATTAATTGAACATTCATTTATGCAGAAAGGGTACCTTGCAAAAATCAAAGTGAAAATCTTTAAGCAGGAATAGTAACAGAAAATTTCCCTAGTCATTTAATGCCAATCAAGAAAGGGCTACAAGAATCCTTGAACTTCAGTCAAACACCATCATGGTTATTGCTTAGATGAGCCCTTCTTGGGTAAGGTACTTGTTCCCAGTAAATAACACGCAGTAATTGGCAACTTTTCAGATGTAGCTCACCAGAAGTGTGGATGATGAGATTGAGACAAAACTTTCCTTGCTGCAGGTGTGTGTTTTAATGCAAAATATCTAAATTTAAAAACAGAAGAGATAACAAGAAATTAATCTCAGATTAATGCTGACATTAAATACAAAACAAACAAAATATACTTAAACTTAAACATCATTAAATATACTTACAATAGATTATCCAGTGCAAGGACACCTAAAATAAAAAAAGTAGTCTATCAATTCAAATGCTTGAAAATTGAAAAAAGGTCAAGAGAACACTAGAATTTATTAGGTAGAAATTGTTATCTTGATCTAACACCAAATTCTTGAAACTAATTTACAAGGAAATTTGTAATAGGTGGAGAGGAGAATCAATCAGATGATAGGGCTTGAAAGGTTTTCCCTTTAACTCCCATGAGTGACCAAGACAGAATTTCTCCTTACAATATCAATAAAATATCAAGCAGACAAGTGATGAGAATAAAAAAATTTAATTAAGGGATTATTAGTTGATCCAAAACAAAATTCTCCAAACTTACATCACAAGAACTATATGGCAGACAGTAAAGAGAATTACTAATAAGATCTTGAGAGTCAAAGGGTTAAGAACAACATACCCATTCCTCTAAAATCGGTCTTGGGGTCTTTTCCTTGGAAACCAATGTCTCCCCACTGCTTACTGATTCTCTCTTTCAGTGGAGTATCTGGCATCATAAGCTTCCAGAGCTATTGTATTTTAAAAAAAACTTGGTCAGTTTACAGCAAAAAATGCTTAAAAGAAACAACACAATATTTTAAATCATTAAGAGCAAACTTCATACACCACAGCACCTGCATTAACTTCTCTTCATGGCTGGCATCATCAGATGAGTATGGCTGCTTTCTCAACTGTTCAGCATCATAGCAAAGGTCTGTATAACCACATATCTGACTCAGGCAGATAGACATGGAGTCCACAAAACTGAGAGAGATTGGTTAAAAAATTCAATATGAAACACACTAAAATGTATCACCTTGAAAAGATCACAAAAAAATGAGTGTACATCTGCCTAATATTCAAAAGACATAAATAACAGTAACTGTCTGGAAAGAACACAACCAACCCAAAGGATAGATTCTGGAACTACAACATAGTATCAACTATATGGTTAAAAATAAGAGCTCACAGGTAAATCTTTATTGAGAATACCTACTTCAGAAAGCTTTACATAAAAAAATTTTAATAGAGAAAAGAAAAGCTCAATAAAAATTGGCCTCTTGTCAAGATTTGTGCAGATGAAAAGCAACCTACATTTTCAAACTTTGGTTGAAATAGTAGACTTATTAACAAGAACCTATTAAAAAAGGGAAAACCAAAAATATTTCTGGAATGATGCTGCATTGAAAGAGAAAGTGCACTAATCTGTAGGCATTAGTGGTAATTGGTTTGTGGTTTCATGGTTTGCTTGAGCTTCCTGAGCTCCAATAAACCTCCTAAAATATTTCAGATGTTCACGGTTTTCTGAGTGCAATCTGTGTAATTTCTTTTGTCCATACAAAAGTTTAACTGCATCACTTAGTATGAGTAAGGTCTCCTTACAATCTAAAACCACTTACACACTTTCCTGTGCCCTTCTTATCTTTTTGACTCCTATAATCAATTCCAGTGCTTCCTGGATATCCACATTTGCTGCATCCACTAAATCTGAGAGTTCCTAACAATTCGAGAACAAAGATTGAATTAGTTGATTAAAAATTACACCGTTTGCCCTCTGTCTTCAAAAAAAGCTACAATCTCTACACTTGTGTACACAGTAAGAAGAGAATGAAGTCAGGGATGGGTGAATTACTTAACCCCTTTACTTCCTAGATCTCTATATCAATTCTCTTTCCTTTAACTTTCTAGTGAAGCTATGAGAAATTGGAGCTTGATCAAACCATATCTCTTGGCCAACATTTTTCTATCTTCTTGTCACCTTAAAGCTTCAGTGGGATGATGTAGTGATAAAAAATAAGTTGTCAAAGGGTTTAAATAGATATTAATTTTGTGGTTCAATTTTATCCTTGGTTCAAATTTTATTTTCCTTTGTTTCAAACTCATTATTGTACATTACAATACCCAAAAACAAAAGAAAATAAAATTTGAACCAAGGAAAAAATTGAACCACAACATTACCATTATAACCTATTGTTTATCAATAAATAACTAACCTTGGATTTTGACTGCCTCAATGATTTTTCTGTTGAATTTAAATGACATTTAAAAGTAAAAAAGTTAGATAAATAATTCAAAAAGGTTTAAAGTTATTATTTCTACTTAAGCTTGATCAAAATGAAAAAACCTAAAGACAAATAAGTTCAGGGTCTCCCATCTGAAAAATAAAGATGTTTAAGTGTATTATTAAAACAAAACCTCTCATAAGTCATGTGAAAGAGCATCCCTTATTCATCTCCAGTTGAATATTCTAGAAAATTAAAGATGAAAAGAGACTCCAATTTAAATTATTTTTCTCAATTTTTATATTTTTATTTACCAACTTGGCCAGTCCTCAATGCTCCATGTCTTGTCTTGTAACAAATTCGCTGTAACTCACATTGGCCAGTAGAAAAATGAAGAATAATCTTCATCACTCGACGGTACCAAAAATAAAATGAAAGGTATCTCCAGAAATCAGCCATTTTTATTATCTCTTCTGTTGATTTCTAAAAAGCAGATAAAAAAAAGAAAGTCAGTATTTCTGTTTGACTATTGTAGGAATACTGCTCCTATTTCAAAATTAATTAACTTTCCAGAAATGTTTATGAATGCGAGAGAAAAATAAAACTCTCTCAAGTTAAGTTGTCTGTTGTGTACATTTTAGCCCCAGTCTAGAGTCTGAAGCTTAACAGAGTGACACTTCCTGCAAAAGCAAGATTTACCAAAAATATAAGACCCCTACAGTTTTTTGTCAATCCTAATTCAAACAAATGTAAACCATTCTTGAGACTTAGTATATAATTAAAATCTTCAATATACAAATTACATGACTTGTTGGAACTTCTATCTTTTTTAAGAGGTTTACTGTCGTACTGAGTAAACTTCAAAGACCCCAGCTTATAAGACCACTCAAGGCAGCTCTCTTTCTTTCAAGGGTCTACGAAAATATCTATAAAACTGAGAAATATATTCAAGAAAATTACCTAACTCGTCTGAGGATGTGTATGCTCAAAGTCCATCTTAGGTCATTGTCTACAATTCTGTGTTTTATTGTTTTTACAAATTAAAGTTGTCCACCTTAGAATAACTAAGCTTCTATGTTAAAATCAAAAGTGGAATTCTCGCATGTAAATTTGTGTTTATCCTTTGCCCAGCACGAAAGAATGAAATTGAAAGCTATCAGGTAAGTTTCCTTGACACCCACTAAACATATACAAAATAAACTATAATAATAACGCTTCATCATACCATACCACTGTTGGACATGTTGGCAAAAAAGTGTTTCCAAGATTTAGATCGAATAAATAAACAGCAAAACTGAATCAAAGAGTGAATGTTAAAGTTCGGTGATGAACCGTGTCAGCCTGTAGACAGATACTTCTTCAACCGGTATGTGTCGATTAAGAATAATTGTTTTGAGGAAAGGTGTGATAAATAGGAGCTTTTGTGACATGTCTTCAAACGATGAAATGCATTTCCATCCACGCCTATACCACTAAATCTACAACGTCTCACTGGAATGCCCGGGAATCGGATCTGAGCGTAATGACACATAAACAAAACCGGAACACAACAAAGACTTCCCAGACAAAGCACAAAGGTACATCCATCGTAATCATGATCAGATATCAAAATTGTTCCGGCGAGGCTTTCACGCTCACCGTATTAATTCACTAACCTGGTTCACATGAATTTAAAATCAATCCTTCATACAAAGTCTGTTCACCAGATAGTGTGCATTTAGTCATCTTTACTCACCTCAATTGACTAGTGGAACGGGAAATATGGCGCCCGCACCAGCCCACAAATTACAGGTCGCAATCGACCGGAAAAGGTTGGCGTAATCCCAAAGTTTGAAACGGATTTACACATTCAAGACAAACCAAATTTAGAATTTTTTAACCAAAATTGCTCTTTATGACGTAGATGACTTCCTATTGACGTAAACCAACCATTAAAGTAAAACTTTTGCTCGCTCTTCACCTTCTCCAGCCCCTTCACTTCCTCTTTCCCACGAGACATCAGTGAACTGCTGACCAGAAACTATGACGCATAAAAAAGCGGCTCACACCCCGCAACCTCCCAGTTTTTAAACCCCAGATTGATTCCGCAAAGCAATCAGAATTTCCCACATATTTGTAATGGTAGGGGTTTGAAAAGTTAAAAGAGTTAAATAAAATTAGTCGGAAAGAAACAAAGATACATAAAAGCGTGCACGAAGCCCGTTTCTTGAGGATGCAAACAATGACCATGAAAGCAACGACTCGAGGAGTGTTTTGAGTCGATGTCGTTTAAAATTGCAAGATTTTTCCCTAAAAGTATGTTATATTGTTCTATATGCTCAAAATTTTCTACCTATCGCTGTTTTTTTTAAAAGTGTTTTATTAAAAACCCTTTGCTTCTAGCTAGCACAAAAATATATCTCGAACCGACCGTGGTACGGCCATAAACGGGGTAAGTAAGTAAGTGACTTTATTTAATCAGGGTAGCTTATTCAGCAACGAGGCTGGTATCCATAGGGGCCCTGGGGAATCAAGATATGTACAATTTATAAAATTTAAAAAAATAAGTACAATTTAAAAATTTAAAATTAGAGTGAAAATTATAAAAACTCTAAAGAACATTTAAAAGGCTAAAAAAATTCAAATATGATAAAATGTTTATAGATTTCCAGAGGATAAAGATTACAACTAAAAGTGTATTATTATCAAACTTTTGAAATTACTCAAGGAGGGGGCACTCTTAATACAAGCGGGTATTGCGTAAGTAGTGGGGGTAAGATTGACCCATCATCTCTTTGGCAAGCATGATGACCTATCTTTTTCATCGTAGTTTTCGAAACAGAGATTTGTAGGGAATACTCAAGGAAAGTTTGAAAAAAATCAGATTACTTAAAACAGAGACACTCTACGACAGTCAGCAGTCATCACAGTCTGTTACGGTCCATCAGTTTTCCATGTTCTTTTCGGTTTGCAACTCTTTTTGCTTCTCTTGCTTCCACCCTATCCGCTCATTGGGTCAAAAATGGGAAATTGGAATCTAGAAGCTCAAATAAACTTATCATTTCCCCCTTTCTAGTAAAACGCCTTCATTCTGATCAGCTAAGAGAAACACAGCTTACAATAACACATCGCAGATGAGACCTACTTCAGGGCAAAAAAGGGTGATAAACTGTTTCTCCGGGATTTGAATTTTGAATTTTTTATTAGCCTAAAAGCTAATAAAAACGTTCAGAAAACGGTGATTTTGATCTAATGTCGTTGTTTCGACTAAACACACAATGACATTTGCAACGTGCTTGTACGTAGCCGATGAAAACGGCCGAAATAATTTGGACGTTAGGCGTAAAAATTGACGAATCGTAAAAATAGTTAAAAGTAAAAAGTGAACCGAAGTGGAGGTGGCTAGTGGCCGATTTTACCGACTCGGGTCAGCCAGCCCTCACATCTTTAACCCTAGTGGACCCGGGTAAGTATCCGAGTTGTCATCACGACCTGAAGAGTTACGAAACCATTGCACAATAACAAACCTCTACACTGTAAACACTTTAAACAGTGGGTGAGGGTGGGGACGGTGCTGTCCCCAACAATACAGCTGAATGGCGGAATTCCCCAAGGAACTAAATTGGCCCCTATCTTGTTTTGTATTCTTGTGAACAGTATGGCCTTTAATTGTAAAAATAGAGTTAAATATGTAGATGACGCTACAGTTATGGAGTTTGTCCCTAGGCTTTCTCCTTCATACTTAAATTTTACTGTGTCCGAAATTTACTCGTTTGCTTTCTCTAGGGGAATGGTTCTCAGCAGCAAGAAGTGCAAAGAAATGTGCATTACGTTTTTACAGTATTGCCCATTTTCGCCACCCCCTTTAGCTGTTGGTAATTCTATAATAGAAAAGGTTTCCTGTTACAAGTTGTTGGGGGTACACTTATAAGATAACTTAACGTGGAACGAGCATGTATTTCGTATTGTAAAGAAAGGAAACAAGAGGATATATGCAATACGTGCTCTTAAGAAGTGTGGTTTAACTGATGGGCAGCTTATCTTGGTCTACTGTAGCATCATCAGATCTGTCTTGGAGTATGCAAGTCCTGTATGGGCTGGCCTCACGCAGTACTTGAGTGATCAAATTGAGTCGGTTCAAAAGAGGGCTCTAAAAATCATTTTCCCGTTTATGAGTTATGAGGACGCGCTTAAGAAGTCAGGCTTAATTAATCTATGCCAGAGTAGGGAGGATGTGTGCGTCACTTTCCTTAAGCGGAGTTACTACTCTTCTGACCTACTACGAAATTTAGTGCCGCGATGTCAATTTTCAAGACCATATGCCCTTAGGGCAGGAAGAACTGTGTCTGTACCTGCCTCCTCAAGATCTATTAGATTTGGAAATTTTTGTACTATTAAATATCAGAATCATGTGTAATATACTTAACTGCAATTTATCTTATTACTTATAGTATTTAATGTTTACACAATATTTAATATTTATATTTAATTGATATCTAAAATATATCTTTTTTTTTTTTTTTTTTTAATAATTTTGTATGCATAATGTAGAAGTATTTGTAAATTATGACCCGCCTTGTAATTCAGTTTCTACTGCACAACATGTCCTCCTCACCTAAATTATCTGATATCAATAATTGCTAATATCAACTGTT